CCTCTGCCTCCCAAGTGCTGGGATTAAAGGTGTGTGCCACCATACCCAGCATTGTTTATTATTTTCATCTTACGTGTATGAGTGTTATACCTGCATGTAGGTAAGTGTGCCCGTATTGTGAAATGCCTGCGGAGGACAGAAGAGGCTGTTGGATCCCCTGGAACTGGCGTTACAGACAGTTGTTAGCTGCCATGTGGGTGCTGGGATTTGAACCGGGGTCTTCTGTAAGAATAGTCAATGTTGTTAACTGCTGAGCCATCTCTCCAGCCCCGCTTTTGGTCAGTGTTTTATCACAGCAACAGAAATGAAACAGACAATCTGTAAGGACAGGTCCCAACATCAACCAACATAAAAGTTCCCTGGCATTTGTGAACACTATGTAAAACAGTGGAGACCAACACATTTCAAGTGCCTGTGCATCATTCACCGAGAGTCTTCATAAGTAGGAATGTGTGGGTTTTGTTTTGTTTTACCACAATGAAGGTAAAAGAGAAATCAAGAGATTTGGAAAATTCCAAAGACTTGGAAGTTAAGCAACAGACTTCTAAATAAGTTATGATCAAAGATGAAAGCCGGAACAACATGGAGGGACTGACATTACTCATACAGGTTATTTCTAGGCTATGAGTTGGGAAGGTGAGCTTTGCCTGTGTGGCCAATAGTTCTTGCATTTATAGTCTCATCTCTTCCCCTCAGTCCTTTGCTTTAGATCCACTTGATTAGTCATCTGATCACTGATTAGTCATGTTATCGGGAGTGCCAGTTCCTAAGAAAACTAGTGTCTACTTGATTGGCTTTAACTTCATCTTTATGCATAGCATAATGTTTCTACTATTTTTAAAATTGATATGATTTATAAATTGATCTTGATTTTGTCAAATAAAAATATCTTCCAAAAATAAAAAAGATCCAGGGGTGTTAGGGAGATGGTTCAGGGCTTAAAAGCACTAGTCACACAAGACCTGAACAATCTTAAGTTTGATCCCTGGAACCATGTAAAAAGCCAGATGCTGTGGTGTAAATCTGCAGAGGCAGGAGAATCAGCCTGAAATTTGGACAACTAGCTTGGAGTACACAGCACATCAGCAGAAATGGGTTACCTAATCTCAACAAGGGGAAAGCAAGAACCAACTCTGAAAATTATCCTCTGACCTCCATAGGCAGGCACGCACACACACACACACACACACACCAAGAGGAGAGAGAGAGAGAGAGAGAGAGAGAGGAGAGAGATATGAATGTGTATGTTGGGGCTATGTACTGTATTGTTCCAATTCTGTGGCAGTCTAGAAAAGACAAATTGGAGACAGTAGAGTTATCCCTGGTTGCCAGGCATTGGGAACAGTGAGGAATGAGGCAGAGTGCAGAGGTTTCTCAAGGCCAAACTAAGCTGTTCTATAGGAACTGCAATAGACATGTCACCATTGTACATTTGTTCAAACCCATAGAACACACAGCTCCAAGAGGGGACCTGCATGCACAATGTGGACTGGGTGTTAGGGACATGTCACTGTAGGACTATTGGTTGCAGCAAATGGATTGTCAGGTTCAGGGTACTGATGGTAGGGGGACATGTATGTCGGAGTATGGGATGTGCAGGTAGTCTCTGTACCTTTCTCTCAACATTGCTATGAACCTGCAACTGTTCTTTAAAAATAAAGCCTTTAAAATGACAAGTGCACAGGAGAAAAAAAAAGATATTTCAAGCTGAATGAAAAACATGACATCAAAATTTGTAGGATGTCCAGGCATGGTGGCACAAGCCTTTAATCCCAGCACTCAGGAGGCAGAGACAGATGAATATCTGTGAGATTAAGGTCAGCCTGGTCTACATGGTCAGCTGGGACTACAGGAAGACCCTATCTCAAAAAGACCAAAAAAAAAAAAAATTGTAGGATGTAGCTAAAGCATGCAGTAAATAAGGATTTAAAATTGATCTATTTTAGGAAGCTTTAAGTGGGGAAAAAGTAATAAAATAAGAGCAAAAAGTCAAATTCAGTAAAAAAGTGAACAAATCCAAAAGTTGGGGTTTTGAAAAGATTAACAAGCTTCTAATCTGATCATATGAAAGGGAAAAAAAAAAAAAAAAAGAACTTGTATCTAAAATAGTAAAAAGCATACTGCAGATCCCAAAGGCAGGAAGCTATTTCCCCACCTTGCTTTCCCAGGCTCATGCTCAACCCTGCCCTCCACACTGCTTCCCTTCTCTGGGTCCACATCTCTCAGTTCCCCTGCTTGCTGTGTCCTGGTTGAAACACTGCCCTACTCCGGCCTCACCTCATACTGCTCTTCTCCTCATTGCTTTTCTATTTTCCTACCTTGTCTGGTTCTACCTATGGGAAAGATGAGACCATCTGGGTACCTTAAATTAGTCTACTTGGGACTGAATCCCACAGTTCCATGAGTAATTGTCAAGGGTCTTGAAAGACATTGTAATGCCTTAAACCTTTTCATGAGGGGAATGTGATCAGTAGACCTCTACTTCCAGCCCTGTCAGGGCTTAGCCCTAGAGCCTGAGACTGTGGGGCTATCGTGGGGTTGTCCTGGGCTGGTCACCTTTGTCTTCATGGCCCCTTCCTCAAGCATAGGTCCCAGGGGTGAGCCTCAAAACACATACATACCATATGCCATGCATGTTCTGGAATCCCTACTAGCCTATGTGCCTGTGGAGTCAGGAAATGGCATTAGGTTCATCTCTCATAGGCACGTGCCATGGGAAGGACGCTGCACATGCCACTCAGATGATGGCCAAGCCTCCACTGTGGTCTGCGGACTTCACGTAGTGTGGACAGCCTGAGCCTCCCATACTCTGTTCTGCTGGCTGCCCCTGTAAGGTGTTAGCAAGGTCTGGCCTTGGGGTCCTGTCCTCCCTGCCTAGGGTGCTTCCTGGGAGCTCAACCTCTAATCTTAGAATCTCATACTTCCTCTCTGTGCCCTTGGCACTCTCAGTCCCTGTCTGTGTTTTGAGATACTTGCCTGCATATTCTGTATGTATCTGGTATCTCTGCATATCACCAGGCCCGGGCTGGGCTGGAGTTGGCTGTGAGGTATCAGAAGTGCAGAGGAAGAAGGATGTTGACTCCATGGTTCTGCCTCTTTAAAGGTGGCGACATCACAAGGCTGTGGAAGGCCAGGCATTGTGAAACTCCATTGTCTTGGACTGTTTCTGTGGGGTCTGCAGGCTCTGTGTTTCCATCTTCATGGGGTTGCAGGCCCATACCTGAGCACCTTAGGACACCATGGCAGAGGGCAGTGAGCTGATGAACAGGCTCATGAGTGAGAATGCAGACTTGAAGAAGCAGGTGCGCCTTCTGAAGGAGAACCAGATGCTGAAGCGGCTGCTCAGTGAAAGTTGCCGGGAGAGCTGTGGCCTTGGGGGCCGGGACCTGCTCTTTCCCAAGGCCCCCACCTACCCTGAGGCCTGCTCCCCTGGGAGTGGAGGTGAGGTGCAGGCCTGGCCAAGACAGTACAGCCCCACCTGCGAAGAGTTGTGGAGTCTGGAGAGGCTTCCTGGCACTGGAGTTGCCTGTTATGCAGGGTGTCCTTGAGAAAGGCCCTCTACTTTTCATGGATGCAGTCCACACATATGGTGGGGTGGGTGGGCATGTTACCTGGTAGATACACCAGTTGGCAGTTTCTCAAAGTGCTGTCTCCTAACTTTAAACAGTCAAGATATGATCCCATGGCTCTAGGCTGACTGAGCTTTGCTGGGCTTGGCTAGGCAATTAGCCCTGCTACAGGTGGTGTTTTTCTTCCTCTGTTGGATCAGCAGTTGTCTTACAGAGGTGCAGATGTGCTTACCAGTCAAGCTAAGCTATGCCTCATCCATCTAGCCATTGGTCAAAGGAGTTTCTCGGATGAGCCTGGCATTGGGAGGGAGGTATAGTATCCACCCCAGAAGGAAGTCCTGACATCAATTCTTAGGTGTGAGTGGGTCACCAGATAGTATCCAATCGAATCTGTGTGGGTTTTTTTTTTTTTCTGTTTGATTGTTTGTAGAAAAAAACCCACATGTGGGGCAGTGACCAATTTCTATAAAAGTAGTTTAGTTTTAAAAGATTTTGTGAAAAATTTATAACATGGTAGTGTGGCTTTGGGTGAGGTGTGTGGATGTGATCTAGGATTGGTTGGAATGGTGTGCAGTGGACAGACCCATCACTGATGCCTGAGAATGCTAGTGACCCATTGCATTCAGCTTCCTGAAGGTGTGATGGCCACTCATTTCACCTGACCAAAGTGAGAGGACAGAGTTGTGTTCCAGTGCACCAAGTCTTTAACATGGCAGATAGCCTTATGGTGAACTGTGGAGTTGGTCAGGCTATGACCCACTCCTATGGGATATCATGGAGGTTAGCTGTGAATCTGCCAAAAGGGAGGCTTCAAGGACTTGCGTTTGGTGAGCTTCTGAGAGTCCTCTTTGGATGTCCACCTCTTGTCCTCTTCATACAGCCAGCACTGAAAGGCATTTGTATCTCTGAACTCTGCAGAGAGCCCACTGGATCTGGTAGGTACAAAGCCTCTAGGATGAGAGGGCTCCTTTACCACATTTCTACCACTTCAGTCCCAGGGGGAGCCCTCAAAAGGAAGCTTAGACATGCAGAGGATCTTGCAGGGATCTGGACTGGGGGATGAAGACAGTGTTGCTGGCATAGAACATTTGTTGGAGGGATAGTGCTCATGCCACTGGGCCTGTGACATCCTGCAGTATTTGTGCAAAATTCACAGACACTTATAACGTTGTGGTAGCTGCAGTGGCACTTGCTCCTGTGACTCATTGGTGCTGACCATTCTCAAAGACTAAAGATCCTTATTGCCTCTTGACCAGCTTCCAAGAGTGAGATAGGATCTAGTTTTGTGCTTTTACAATTTTCTTAGAACTATTTGTTGAAGAGATTGTCTTTTCTCAGAATGTTTAGATTTGTCTTCTTTGTTTATTGACTCACTTTGGTTTTCTACTTTTTATTTAGTAATTTTACAAAAATTTCCCAGAAAAGTTCTGTGAATATTTCCAGTACAACTGTACATCAGGCTCTTTGGTGCTGCAAAGAGTCTGGATAGGGGCTGTGAGGTCCTCCAAGACCAATGGGTCCCACAAGAGCATGTGGGAAGCAGTATCTTGCTAGCAAGTTACCTTCTTTTAAACTTAGAAAAAAAATTTAGGGCATAGTAGTTGGGTCCTGCATTTGTGTATTTTAAAATATAATTATTTAAAAGCCTATATAATAGGCTCTTAAAAACACTTTCTCAATATATTTGCTTTCTTATTAAGAAAGTAAATTCCTGACCATGGGGATGGATAAGAACTTCTTAAGTCAAAAAAGAGATAGATGAATTACATTTGATGAGGCCTCTGGAAAGGAAGGAGAGCTAAACATGCACACACTTAAGCTCAGGTGCAGCTGTGAGAAATGCTGACTACAGCTTTACTATTTTTTTTTTTTAAATCAGGTACTGGGGATTGAATTCAGGGCCTCACCCCGTTAAGTAAGTGCTGCACCCCTGACCTACACCAACCACAGCTTTGCTTTTATAATAAAAATGGGAGAAAAGACACTGGGTTTGAACATGGTCAGGGAAACAGAGGAACAAGCTGGTTCTCAAGTGACTGGATGCTGATGAATCTGAAAATGTATATGTTGCAGAGGAAACATATAGGATGATACTATTCATTTATTTTTAAATATTTTATTATTTTTATGTGTATGAATGTTATGCCTGCATGTATGTAAGTGCACCCATGTCATGCAATGCCTGTGAAGGTCAGAAGAGGGCATCAGATTCCCCGGAATTGGAGTCACAGCCAGTTGTTTGCTGTCATGTGGGTGCTGGAAACCGAACCCAGGTCCTCTGCAAGAGAAGCCAGCACTCTTAACTGCTGAGCCATCTCTCTAGCCCCAAGGATAACACTGTTTATGACAAATTTGAAAAAAGCATGTAGAAATCACTCCAATGAATGTGGTTGTGAGTACATGGAGGTCTGTTATGCTCACTGTGCTTGAGATCCTGGGGTAGGGGCTCCTGATACCAGGGGAAATGCCAGAAGGGATCCAAGTCCTGGGCTTGGAGTTCTAGTGTTCACCTGCCTGTGCTTATAGGCATGTTGAGAACTTCCAGCCTGACTTTCTGCTCCTTTCCTCCCTACCCCAGGTCCAGACTTTGGAAGATTTACCAGTGTTCCTGAGACATCCTCCCTAGAGGACTTGCTGTGGTCACATGCTCCACTCTCCAGTGAAGATGAGGCCTCTCCAGGCTGTGGAACTACCTCTCAAGTGACTTTCAAGGCCCTCCTCAGTCCTCCAGAACTGCATGCTCGAGTTGCTGACAGGAAGCTGTCCCCACTCCTGAGTACCTTGCAGGATCCACTGGCTGACAAAACCCTGCTTAAGCCCAGGGAAATTGTGCGGCCTAAGAAGGTGTGCTTCTCAGAGAGCAGACTGCCCACTGGGGACAGGACCAGGAGGAGCTATTACCTCAAAGGTATGGTGTACCTGGGTGGCTCTGAGTAGGGGAGGATCATGTTGAGGAGACTTGGCTATGCCTAGCTTCCTTAGCAGTGCAGAATAGGGAGGAGAGCTGGGGTGGGCCAGGGGCCAGAGCTAAATCTGTCCTGGCCTTTTTGAAAATGGAGCTACTTGCCCTCATGTTTAGTTGCTAAATCTTGCCCTCCTGTTTTCTGGATAGACGTCCTTTAGGGTATGTTCCACAGGCATGCCTCCCAGTCTGTGAGTTTTTCATTTTTTAATGTTTGTCAGGAGAGGGATGAAACTGGTGACTATGATAAAGTTTAATCTTTTTCTTTTGTAGCTTATACTTTTTGTGTCTAATTTAGGAAGTCGTTGTCAAACAGGGTTGCAAATATTCTGTTTTCTTTTGGAAGTTTTATAGGTTTTAGATTTGGGTCTGTTATCAATTCCAAGTTTCTTTTGTCTGATATGAGGTTTGTGTGTAGAAGCTGCTCCCTAGCACAGACATTGAAAAGATGACCCTTCCCCCAAAACTACTTCAGCACCTTGTCAAAATCAATCCTTTGGGGCTGGAGAGATGGCTCAGCGGTTAGGGGCACTGATTGCTCTTGCTAATGACCCAGGTTCAGTTCCCAGCACCCACATGACAGGTAACAACCATTCATAACTCTAGTTCCAGGGGATCCAATGTCCTCTCCTGACCTCCATGGGCATTGCATGACATGGGTACAACTTACACATGTGCAGGCAATACATATAAAATTAAAAAAAAATTGATCCTTTGTCTACATGTGATCCTCTGCCTGCATGTGAGTCTGTTTCTGAAGTCTCATGTGGCTCAGTATATCCATATGTTTGGACTCACTTGAATTAGATGTTTGTGGCTTTATGCAAATCTACAAAGCAAGTTGTTCTGGCTGTTATAGGTCCTTCACATTTCCACACGAATTTTAGAATCAGGTTGGCATTTCTACAAAAAAGCCTGATGGGACCTTGACTAGAATTATCTTGAGTCTACAGATCAATTAGCTCTATTTTCAGAGAATTGACAGCTTCACAACATTGACGTTTTCGATGAATACTCTCTTTCTGGGTTTAAAAATTTTTTATTTATTTATTTAATGTGTATGAGTGTATTGCCTACATGTGTGTAAGTATACCTGTGTGCAGTGCCTGTGGAGAACAGAAGAGGGTGTTGGAACCTCTGGAACTGGAGTTATGGATGGTTGTTAACTGTCATGTGTGTGCTGGGATTCAAACCCAGGTCTTCTGCAAGAACAATCAGTGCTCTTAACCACTGAACCATCTCTCTAGCTCCTCTTTCTGTTTTTTTAGGTATTAAGCATGACTTTGAAAATGGACAAAATCTATGTTAATGAACTTTAATGAACCTTGGCAACCTCAGTTTCATACTCTACCCCCAAAAGACAATCAACGAATGTGGGTATGCTTGAGAATTAACCTATCAAAGTGCTGAAAGACAAGGCCCTGTCTTCATTGACCACAGTGAAGACTGGGAAGGAAGCTTATCCTTGGGCACATGAGATACTCTAGATCTAGGGACGAAAAGGCAGGATTGTTTTGATAAGGGTGGATTCTGGCTTGTACTTCCCCAACTGAAGCTGGAGAAACTGGTTTGAATAAAAATTATGGGTAGGGCCTGACTCAAGAGCACAGTTCCAGAGACAGAGTTCCAGACACAGTTCTAGCAGCACAGTTCCAGGACACTGACAATTCCAAGAGTTATCTGAGGAAATGAGTATCTTCCAAGTTTGGACCCACTCTTAAGAACTAAATTCAAGAGTCAAGTTGTTTCATTTAGGTACAGTTGTAATGCTGGCATAGTAACATTGCAGGTTTGTAACTGTTATTAGCAATGTTTTATAATTCCTATATACATATATATTCCTATGTGCAATTCCTATATACCTGTATATTTACCTCTATGATAATTTTGTGTCAACCTGTCTGGGTTAGGACACTCAGTCATTTGGCCACCCATTGTTCTGGGTGTGCTGGTGGGGATTTGTTTTAGGAGATTAGCATTTAAATTGGTAGACTGAATAAGACAGATTGCCCTCCTGGATGTGGGTAGACCTCATCCTATCAGTTGAAGAACTGAATAGATCCTCCAGTGAGTTAGAGAGGATTCTACCTGCCTGGCTGTTTTCAGTTCTGAACCTATATATCAGTTCTTTCTGGGTCTCCAGGCTACTGCTTTTGGACAGGAACTATATATATCATCAGCTCTTCTGGTTTTCCAGTTGCCAACTGCAGATCTCAAGACTTGTGGGGTCCCTCTGTTGTCCCCCCCCCCCACAGAGTCATATACCCACTGATTTCTCTGGAGAACTCTGACTAATTTATGTCCTGAAACCTTAACTAAACTCATTTGCTCTCCTAACTTTTTGGTGGATTCTGTTTTGTTTTTGTAGCACTAGGGACTGAATCCAGGACTATATATGGCTGAACTATATCCCTGGCCTAATTGTACCATTTGTGAATGAAATTTCATGACTATTATGAAACAAGGGACATAGGCTACTTATAAAGTAAACAAAGGTTTATTTTGGCTCATGCTTCTGGATACTGAAACTCCAAGATCAAGTGGTGCCCTGGATTTGGCCTTCAGTGAAGGAGGCACATCAGAATATCAGACAGAGTTTATCTGAGTGATTGGCTACATACTGGGGCAAAAAGAATGAGAGGGAAAGAGGGTGAAAGGAAGGGGGGGAGCTTCAGTCCTATAATGCCTTTTGAGGGCACACCCCCCCAATGAGCTAAAGACCTACTAACATGTTCCACTACTTAAAGGTCCAGAACAGTACTCTCCATACTTCCATCCTGGAATCAAACCTTTACATTTGGACCTTTGGAGGGTACCCATTAGAATCATAGCATATGGCAAATCATACTGATTAATTTTTTTAAATGTTAAACTAACCTTGCTTTCCTGAGCTAAACCTCATTTGATTCTGATATATTTTACTTTTTGTATTGTTGAATTCAGTTTGAAAAAAATCTTATTAAGGATTTATGCTGTTCATGAGGGTTACTATTTTTCAGTTTTCTTAAAAAGTGATTTTCTGATTTTGGTATAGATTGTTGGCCCCAAAAAATGAGATGGAAAGTATTCTAGTTTCTTTAATTAGCTAGAAGATTTTGTGTCAAGCTTGCCTTACATACTTGGCAGAATTCACTACTGAAACCATATGGGCCTTGAAATTTATCTGTAAGAATGTATTATACCTACAAATTACATTTTATTGAATAAGTCAGTTTGTTCTTGTGTGAGATTTAGCAGTTCGTGCATTTGGAGGAAGTCTTCTATTTCACTTTGGTTGTCAATTTTTGGGGGGGGGGTATAAAGCTACTGCTAATACTTTCTTATTGTCCTGTGGGTGTCATTAGAGTAGTATCATTTCAGTCTTCTTTTTTTTTTTTTTTTTTTTTTGGTATTTTTGAGACAGGGTCTCCCTGTAGCCCCAGCTGGCCTGGAACTCACAGAGATTCTCCTGCCTCTGCCTCCCAAGCACTGGAATTAAAAGCATGTACCACCATGCCCGGCCCTTCATTTTAATTTTTAAAAAACATTTTAAAAACTATTTTTATTTTATGTGTATGAGTTTTGCCTTTATGTAAGTGCACCATGTGCATGCAATGCCCACAGAGGTCAGAAAAGGGTGTTGGATCCCCTGGAACTGGAGTTACAGATGGTTGTTAGTTGCCATGTGAGTGTTAAGAATCAAACCCAGGTCCTCTGGAAGAACAGTAAGTATTCTTAACCACTGAGCCATCTCTCCAGTCCCCTCATTTCTAATTTTTTATCATAGCTATTTGTTTGCTTGTTTGTTTGTCTTTTTGAGACGGTCTCCCTGTAGCCCCAGCTGGCCTGGAACTTACTATGTAGACCAGTTTGGCCTTGAACTCACAGGGATCCACCTGCCTCTGCTGGGGCTAAAGGTGTGCCCCACCATAGCTGGCTTTTAGCATAGTGATTTTTGTCTTTTATTTTTCTCTGGTATGTCTAGCTAGAAATTATCAATTGTATTGACTTTTTTTTCTTTGAAGAATAGATTTTTAGCTAGATCTTGGAAATTCTAGGGTGGACTAGGAATGAGTCCTAGAATTCTAAGATATAGCATGTTTCATCTGCCTAATTAATGCTTGGAGGAAGGGCAGAGGAGAGAAATAGACCTCCCCCCCAAAAACGGAAATGTTGAGGCTGAGAAGATGGTTCAGTTGTGCAACCATGAAGGTCTGAGTTTGGATTTCCAGCATCCATGTAAAAGCTGAGTGCGGTGGCATGAACATGCTCTTCAACCCTAGCCCTAGAGGGTGGAGACAGGCAAATCCCTAGAGCTTGCTAGCTAACCATTCCAGCCAATTGGTGAACTCCAGGTTCAGTGAGAGTCTCTGTTTCAAAAAGTAAAGTAGAGAGTGATAGAAAAAGACACCTGACATCCAGCTCTGGCCTCTATATGCCTACTTGTGAATGTATATCTGCACACACACCCTGCCTCTCTATACCTTCATCTGCCCTATTGATTTGGTTTGCTTGTTTGTTTTGTTTAAGACAGGGTCTCACTAATCTCACTGTATAACCCTGGCTGGCCCCAAACTCACAGCAGTCCTCCTGCCTCTGCTTCTTAAATGTTGAGGTTATATTTACCATGATGCTGGACTTGTGCTTTTATTTTGGTCTGATTCTCAGTTTGAATTCCTGGATTATTTTCTTTTTATTTATTCTTTGACAATTTTATACATGTATTTAATATATAATATGGACACCCCTTTACCCTTTCTTGTCTTCCTCCTACTCCTTCTGAGCCCCTTCTTTCTCCTTATATAGCCTCCTCTTTTTTAAAAATGACCCACTAAGTGTAATTAGGATTGCTTACATAAGCATGAGTGTGAAGTTATTTACTAGAGCATAGACAACTTAGCAGTTTCTATACCACTCAAGAAAAATGACTCCCCCTTCTCCAGCAGCCAGTAACTGCCAATGGCTCTTGAGCTATGGGTGGGGCCTCATGAGTCCCCTCATGTTGGAATGTTGATGGACTCAGTCTTCTGCAGGTCTTGTGCAGGTAGCTCAGCTGCTGTGAGTTCTTGAGTACACGGCCATGTCATGTTCAGAAGGCAGCATTTCTCAGCACTCCCCTCCACCCTCTGGCTCTTACATTCTTTCTTTCCCCTCTTTTACAGTGTTCCTTGATTTGGGGCAGGGGAGTGATGTAGATGTTCCATTTAAGGCTGAGCACACAATAGTCACTTATTCTCAGCACTTTGACCAGTTATGAGTCTCTGCTTTAATCACTGCCCACTGCAAAAAGAAGCTTCTCTGACCAAAAAGCAACACTAATCTCTGGGTATAAACATAAACATTTAGAAGGCAGTTTTCATTTAACAAAACAACAACAGTAAGTTTGACCTCCTCAGCTATGGGCTTTTGACCAGGTTTCTAGTACCAGGCATGAATTCTTGTCTGTGGATCAGTCCTCAAATCCAATCAGAAAGTGGATGTTTGCATCCATAAGAATCATACCACTATTGCATCAGTGGGTACATCTTATTTGGCAGGTCAATATTGTAGTATGCAGGGTCCACTGCTGGGTAAGATTGTTGACTTTTCTCCCTTGGCAGCCTGCATAGCACCTTCTAGCACTAAAAAGCAGCAACTTGTCTTCAGTACCTTGGATTTGGTGATGGATTCTTTGATATGACACTGAAAGCCTATGCAACAATGAAAATAAATAAATAGGACTTTTTCCCAAAGTAAAAATTTGTGGGTTTTTTTGACAGCATCTCCCTAGTCCCAGTCCACCTGGAATTCACTATGTAGACCAGGTTGGCCTTAATCTCACAGAGATCCACTTGCCTCTACCTCCTGAGGGCTGGGATTAAAGACGCATGCCACCACACCCATGTGTGAAAATCTTTTATGTTTTAAAGAACATCAAAAAATGAAAAGCCACTGTGTAAAATGTTTGTAAATTAGTTCCAGAATATATAAGAACTCTTGTAGGGTGTGGTGGCTCACTTTTTGTAATCCCAGGATATGGAAGGCTGAGGCAGGAGGATTGCCTTGAGTTGTAGGCCAGCCTGGGCTACAGAGTGAGACCCTGTCTCAAAAACAAGCCAAAAATCAAAACAAAAACCTTCCTCTCTTTCAATAGTAAAAGGCAAACAATCCAATTATGAGTGGGCAAAATGTCACCACTTGGGAGGCTGAGACAAGAATTTCTAGTTTCAGGAGAGCTTGGGCTACATAGCAAGACCTTGCCTGTTAAAAGGATATACAAAGGACTTAACAGAAAGTTCTCCAAAGAAGACATTTAAATGGATAAAATAAGCATCTGAAAAGATGCTCAACGTAATTAACTGTCCTCACCATGTAAATGAGAGCTACAAGGAAATTCCATGTCTTACCCATGGTGGTTAGGAAGAACATCTGTGGTATGAAGTTGAGAGACTTTTCCTTGAATGCTGACGAGGATGGAAAAATGCGGCAGTCACTTAGAAAAAGACCCCCTGGCAGTTCCCAAAAGGTTAAACAGTTACTTTGCAACCCAGAAATCCCATTCTTAGTTACTTACCCAGAGAACTGAAAACATCTGTCTACACAGAAACTTGCACATGAGTGTTCAGAGCAGCCTCATTCATAATAGCCGAAAGGTGGAAACAACACAAAAGCCCATCAGCTGATGAATAGGTAAATAAAATATAGCATATTCGTGTGATAGAATATTATTCAATCACCAATGGGAATGAAGCACTGATGTGCTACAAGGATGGACCTCAAAAACAATATGCTGTGTGGATGACATCAGATACCTTGTGTAGTTCCATCTCTGTGACATGCCCAGATAAGAGTGGTAGTTGCAGGGGTTGGAGGAGGGGAGAATGAGGATTGATAATTGTACTGGATTCTGAGGCTCTCACAAAGTGGTCTCATATGGATGAATCAAATCACCCCACCCAATTGAAACCCTGGCAGGGTTTGTGTCACAAGTCTTGTCTGGGAAATTCCTGGGTGTAAGCATGCCATCCTGTGTCTTCTGTCAGGATACAAGAGCAGAGCTCAGGAGTGATACCTCTGAGTGTGAGCAGCACATGGGCTTGAGGGGTCAGGGGAGTTGCCTAGGTGAAGACAACTGTGTCAACATCCTGTGCTCTGCAATGTGTATTGCAGAGAGGGAGTATAGAACTTAGACCCCTCAGAGCATCAGTTCAGCATGGGCCCTGAAGATGCAGGAGGGCTTTCCACACCATGCAGATCTTTTCTTTCAAATTCAGAAGAGGCTCCTTTTTCAAAGCGCATAAGGTTTGGAAAGGGTATTGAATACCACATTGTTTAATGAATGAGTCCCATGATGTCAGAGGCTGCCATGGAGAAGGGGCATTTGGAAGCAGTCTTTGGGGAGGGGGCAGGGAAGGATCCAGGTGTTCCAAGAAGTATCAGGGGTGTAATGAAGAGAGTCTTCTGTCCAAAATCCTGTCTACAAATATGACAGGATCAGGTTGATAACTGAATTTTCAGGTATCAGCCCCTCTTTGGTGGCAATACTGTGGACTGGAGAAAGATGGCCCTTTTTTGAGCCAAGGAGTGATGCTCTTGCTGTCCTCAGAGAGGGCTGAGTTGGCCTGGTGGAGCAGTACCTGAGAACAACAGAGCAGAGCCCTGCTCCACCTGGATAGACCTGAGTGCCCTTTTCCCATGATCCCCACATTCTTTTGCAGGTTTACAAGCATTCTGCATCTCAGGCAGAGAAGGGAGCCATATACCCAGGTCCCAGGGAAATGTGCTGAGAGTAAGGAGGGAGGGACAGGCCTCTCTCCAGATCCAAAGGAACATCCCCTAGAGGGTTCAGATTTGGGTTTTCTCTTAGGTGGTTATGGGGAGCAAGGTGATCTTAGGACCTTGAAATGGTCAGGATAGCACCTGTCTCACCCACTGCACAGAGATCCAGAGCTTTGCGGGAACTGAGAAGGACGGCCGCATTGTTGGGGAGATCGCCTTCCAGCTGGACCGGCGCATCTTGGCCTATGTGTTCCCAGGTGTGACGCGGCTCTATGGCTTCACAGTGTCCAACATTCCTGAGAAGATCAAGCAGGTGCGCTGTTTTTGCTGCCCAAGGGCAGGACTCCTGCCTAGGGCACATCCTGTTGCTGGCAAGTCCTTGCAGAAACCTGACTCTTCTTGGGTTCAAGCACTGACCTCTCAAGGGCTCATCCTTCTGAAGTAATGGAAGGGGCCCAGGGCTTCCATTTCCCCTCTAAGTACCCAAACCTGGCCTGTCCCACCTGCCTACACTGGGGTCAGAGGCTTCCCTGACTTGAATGCCTTTTCCCTACTTCCCTGTGGTGTGCAGATCTCTATCAAGTCCCTGGATGGCTCTGTGGATGAGAAGAAGCTGCGCGAGCTGACACATCGCTACGTGACACTGACTACACGGCTGGAGAAGTTGGGCTACAGCCGGGAGGTGCACCCAGTATTCAGTGAGTTCCTCATCAACACCTATGGCATCCTGAAGCAGCGGCCCGACCTGCGGTCTAACCCGTTGCACAGCAGCCCAGCAGCACTGCGCAAGCTGGTCATTGACATCGTGCCACCCAAGTTCCTGGGTGATTCCCTGCTGCTGCTAAACTGCCTGTGCGAGCTTTCCAAGGAGGACAGCAAGCCGCTCTTCGCCTGGTGAGCCACTGGCCTCGCATCTTCCTGCAATAAACATGTTTGTTCCAAACGGGCCACCCGCGTACTCCAGCATGGGAAGCCATCTGCCCAACTGCCTGGGGAGAGGTCTCCGTGCATGCGCTTATCCTGGGCACCAGCAGCCTGGGTCGCGCATAGTCGCGGGGCACTTGTTACCTTATTAAAAACTTATTTGTTTGCCTTACCTCTGGCTCTTTGAGGGCGTGGAGAGGTGTCTTGGTCTCTGCTAGCCTACAAGAGATATGGATTGGTATTTAGGGTTAGGTTCCTTGGACAATACCGAGGGGCTTGGCTGCTGCTCAGGCAGGGTGCCTGGACCCTTACCTGCAGGACTGTGGCCACCCACCTTCCCTCAGGGCTAGTTCAGCATCCTTGGAGGCCTCAGTTTGTCCCTTGAAAGGTCCAGCAAGTCGGATTCCAGTCTGAGATTTCCCAAATGCAGAGCTGGAGGTTAGATGGCTGTGGGGTCAACAGGGTCTGTGTAGAACGGACACCAACCCTTGGGCAAAGTTAGGAATTTTGGACTGTGAGGATAGAACATGTTGAGTACGTGCTTGGCCTATGTGACTGAGCATGCTGTGCTGGTACAGGACAGGCTGTCTCTGTGGAGCAGAAATTAAGGAAGCAGCAGCAAATAGGGAAGGGTCACTAAGATAATGGAACTTAATGCTTGGTACCTGGGAGGCCTGCAATGTTCCTGAGCATTGACCAGAGTGGTAAGGTTACTGTGGCCTTAGGTATCAATTCTCATCCCACAGGCAACTCGCTGTGCGCATGTGCTCTGCTCCAGAGTCAGTCCTGCAGCAGGGGGATGGACCCCTCACTGAACCAGTGGGGTTGGTGCTTGTCAAGTGTCCTACTACTCCAGGTCTTTGTGTCTGGATCCCCACCAGCACCAACCCCACTGGAGTCGTCAGGAGACTCCAAAGGAGCAAGAGGCCTGTGGTGACTTCTTTAGGAAGGAATGGGTAAGGTAAGGTAGGCAAGTATGAGCAAGTATAGGATTGGACAGTTCCATAGGCTTGGGAGGGACGGAGAGGAGATCTCTACTGACCAGTGCCTACCTGGCTCTAGGTGGTTTGGAGGCCAGGGAACCTTGGCTTGGGGAGTAAAGGTTAAGAAAATGGGTCAGAGTTGGCTGTTTTGCATAACAAAGGCATGCTCCACACACCGGGAGGCATTATCTTACCCTGGGAAGGGTGATTTTTCCAACGAGTAAGGTGCCTTAGGTACTTACGTATTACAGCCTCATTAAAAAAAAAAAAAAAAACAAGGAAGAAAACAAAGTAAGTACAAGTTATCAAAAGGAACTGGAGGGCAGAGTGACTTGGACCCTGGGCTCCAGGATCTCAAGAATTGGGATCTTGACCTTGAGTCTCTGTGTTAGCTTTCTGTCACTGTGAAAAAACACTGAGAAAACTGATTCAGTGAGGACAGGTTTAAGTAGCTCACACCTCAGAGGCTTCAGGTCATGCTTGCCTGACTCCATTGTTTCTGTGTCTATGATGAGGCAAAGCATCATGGCTCACCTTTGGAGGTCACCTTTGGGGTGGGAAGTATGGGGCAAGATATACCCATTAAGGGCATACCCCCAGTGATCTACCTGTTTCAATGAAGCCCCTCCTCCAGTTTCCTCCCAATAGTCCAATTATAAACTCATCAGTGGGTTAATCCTTTCAAGAGATCAGAGTCCCCATGGTCTAATCAAGCCCCCAAAGCCCTGTCTCCCAACATTGCTGTACTGGGGTCCAAACCTTCAACAGTAAGCCTTTCGGGAAACATTCTAAATTCAAACCCACAAGGCATTGGTGTCCCTAGGCTCTTGAGCTCAGCTCTGAGTGGTCCCTGGGGTTCTGGCTGTCCACTGGGCCACCCTCTGTTCACATCATGGGGCCAAGCTCGGGGGAGTTCCCAGAGGCCAAGGGCTCAGTCTCCACCCTGACAGGGCTGATCCCAGGTTACAGTGCCTCCCAGGGGTGCCTAGAGTCAGAGAGTGTTCCAGCATGAGATGAGATAGGACAGCAGTGAGGGGGGGTGTGTGGTGGTTCAGGTAGGCCTTGACAGTGGTATTGTTACAGAAAGTCAGGAGATCAGCAGCCAAATCAGGTGGAGAATGAGTTTAATCATGCTGGCGGACTGACCCCTGGATCACTCTGTAATGGTGCCAGCCTCCAGCTCAAGTTTTGGGGAAATTTATACTCAATCCTTGTTGCTGTGTGCGTCTTGCGCTGCTGGACGGGTCTCTGGCTCTCCGTGGCTGCTCGGGAAGTGTAGGCGAGTCTGCAGGTCGGCGGGCCTGCAAGCTGCCGGGCGGGTTCTGTGCCAAGCTGCCGGATGCTCCCTCTGTACACACGATCCATTGGCCACCGGATCACGAGGGGAGGTGCAGGAACGGCGAAAGCAGGATCTTCGTGAGTGAATGTTGACAGAAGGACAGCCCCCTCCGGGAAGACTGAATCACAGGCTGGTAACACAGGATACAGCTCCAGACAAGTTCAGTGATACAGCTTCAGTTTATTCAGTGAGTCAGCTCCAGTTTATTCAGTGATTCAGCTCCAGTTTATTCAGTGATTCAGCTTCACTTTATTGGGGTTAAACTAGAAGATTTATAGTGTGGAGGCAGTAGCAAAAGACTCAGTTGATAAGTGCTTTGTAGGATGCCCCATTTACATGTGGGCTTCTATCAGACTGTCAGACAGTGCCTGATTATCACATAGGAAAAACGTGGCAGTTTCTATGCCAGAGGTCATGTATCTGTGGCGGCCACTTCAAAGTGAGCCAGGAAGAGAGTAGGAAGACATGGAGAGACTGCAACCCAAACAGCAGGGGTCCCCAACAAATCCTTTATTTATTTATTTATTTATTTATTTATTTATTTATTTATTAAGCAGAAAGCAAATCTTTATTGAACCCTTAAGTCATTTACATTGTAGTGAAATTATAAGAATATTCTGGTAAGTTTATGACTTTTGGAGCTAGACAGACCTGAGGCAGGTTACCAACCACTCAACTTCAGTTTTCCATCTGTAAAAATGCACAATCATGTAATGGCTTATAGTAATCAATCATAGTGCTTAATATAGTCAATTCATATGTGAGGAATGCAAGCAAAAAGCAAATAGCATATACATAATTCTTTTTTCTGGCCTTTATTTTCTTTAGCATTTGCCTTGTATTTTTTGTAACAATGCTGGACTGATTTGCATAAGAACAGCATTCTTCCCCAAGATAGGCACAGATGCTTCCCTTTTCTGATAGTTTTGGCATCCCTGGCCTCAGGTGGGGACAAGTTAACTGCAGATTCAAGGGAATTTCCAACTCTCAGTTGAGAAAGAAACTAGCCATTCTTGGGGGGGGGGTGTCTTCACCCTAGAACTGCCTAGCCACTTTCTACCTCCTGTTCTCATTACTCCTCCCTCTGAAGAGGTAACCTTAATTGCCAATAGGGAATTGGGGTGCTGGTCATTCTGGCTTCTTCCATGCTGAATAGGGACACAGTGTGGCAACCGGGATACCTCTTCAGTAGGTCTTTCTAAAAGACTCGAAAAGTATATAGAGAAAAGACAGTCCTTGACTGGTGCCTGGGAGGAGATGTGAAGTAAAGACAAGAGTAGTTAGGCATAAGTTCAGGCAGGGAACCAGGAGAAGTCAGAACGGTGAATTTTAAATGTCCAAAAGGCCATTAGAGTTTCTTGATGAGGGCTTCCAAGAGCATCCATCTAGTGGGTTCCTCATTTTTCATTTGGCTACGGCAACTGGACTCAGGATCTGCCTTTCAGACACTTCTATGACTGTTGGGGTGGCTAGAATCAGTGTGAGTTCCCTTTCAAATGGCTTCTAGACAGGGAAAGAAAAGAAATTTAGCCATCATTTAGTTTTCAGATAAGAACAATAGTGGGCTTGTCTTTCTTGGTTGCAGTTAGGCATGGCAGTATTGAACTAGACCAAGATCTGAAGTCTGACTGTTAGGGTTCGAGAATCGAGAATAATTCCCACAGATACCCAAAAAGATTATACAAAAAGTTCATTTAAGAATTTAAAGTAAAAAAGGACAACAACCAAATGGCGGCTAGCCGGGCACAGACTTCATGAGCCAAAGATGGAGTCTGGCCCTGAACGATAGCAGGCAGGAGCTTTTATTGGGGCACTCCACAGAAACCCGCACGCACCAAGCATTTTTTAAAATAATTGGATGTCCCCATAGCCTGTGTACAGGGAAAGTCTTGATTGGTAGGGGCTGTCTTCAGGGCATTGGAATGTGCTGACTCATATCTTTTAGAGTCATAAGTTTTTGTTCATACCTTATAAGGCTTTTACATGTACAATATGCCTGAGCTTGTCTGGACTTGTCTAAAGAAGCTAGCCAAAATGGAGTCAGAGCATTCTGGCTCTTCGTGACATCTGAGTAGCATTTTTCTTATCAAGGAGAAAATTTTCCATATGAACTTTAAGCCTAATGTCTGGGAAGCACAATTTATTGGACTTTAAAAGAAATATACTGATTATTTTAGTCTTTGGTTATACTTTCCTTTTGGGTATTTAAGGAAATACCCAATTATACAATTGGCCCAAATTAACCAAATTTTTGTTTTTCTCAAGGTCAGTTGAGGATCTGATCCCCAAGGGTTACTTGAGCTTCGGGGGGGAGCCCCTGACCCCTTTGGCTTTTCTTTTACCAGTTCCGTCTATGTGAGGATAAGTCAGAAGGTCCTACTTGACCATGGTTCACTTGGAAGCTTTGAGGAAACTTTTCCTGTGTTTTGACCCTCCTCTCTGTAGGCTGGACACTGGTTTGAGTCTCTCTGGTGGGGTCTCCATGACCTCCCCAGGTCAGGTGACCCACAGTTATAGGACCCACAGTTATTGACCCACAGGTGACCCACAGTTATAGGACATTTTTAGAGGTGCCCCATAGTCTCCTGGGACTTAGTTGACCTTGGAAGGCAAGGACAAAACTGTTCCTTTAAGTTCTCTAATCAGATTAGTATAGGCCTTCAAGTATTGTTATTAAATATCCAATAAGGTTAGTAACACCAATCTGGTACATTAATTACTGTGTACAAAAATCCAAACATTCTTGAATAAACCTTGACTGGAAGAGATTTAATATCACAGGTCAAGTAGGCATAGCCCAGGAAAGGGAGTTTAAAACAATTTTCTTAGGTCTGTCTTAAATGAAGGCTGTTATAAACAGAAGCAGTCTCCTTTCTCCCCCCTCCCCATACCCTGATTTACAGTTTTTCAGAAGGAAGGGGGGGTGGTCATATCACATACTTGTAGACAAGAAATAAGCTGATCAGAATTCAAATCAAGCTCACTGAAACGGTTTCCTTTTGGACTGTACCCATCTGGTTCTGGGAGGTAAAACCTAGCTCCTCTTGAGCCAAATCATCTTGTTACAGGCAAAAGAAAGTACCAAAAAATAACACTTGCATAATACAGAGAAACATAGGGAAAACATCTTTCAGTAGCCACAGGTAGCAATACTTGTCTGCATCCACTTAATAAGACTGTAACTGGGTGTACAGTACAAGCCAGAAGACTGGACTGAAAATTTTGGCTGCAACAGTAATTATTGTCACAACAACTCTGTATCTCTATAAACCTGCTCAGACCTTCAATATATTTGCTTAAATGTTCTCATTAGCCCGTCTATTCTGGAAATATCCAGCCATCTTAATCGTCTTACATAAATTTTTATTAAAATATCTCTATTTTGTATCCTTTTACCAACCTTTTAACCCTCTTATTTTTTTATAGATACCCTCAGACATAATTACATTCACAAACAAATTTACCATTTGTTGTGAGAATTTACTAAGCAATTAATATTTATTTCTTTGTATATGTGAACAATTATCTCAAATATATTATTATAATGTATAAACTTTGAGATATCCTTGTAAGCCTTGAACAAGTTTTTAAGTGACCGTTTTTCTTTTAAGTGTTTAGAGATGTTTTCACATAGGCTTGGCAAAGATATGAACCTTGAAAACCTGTTTGTTGGCTTTAAAGAGAAAATAGTGGCGGCTGGAGAGCTGGCTAGGCGGTTAAGAGCACTGACTGCTCTTGCAGAGGACCTGGGTTCGATTCCCAGCACCCACATGGCAGCTATGAACCGTCCTTAGCTCTAGTTCCAGGGGAATCTGAAGTCCTCTTCTGACCTCTGCGGCACTGCACGACACGGGTGCACTCACCCGTGCAGGCAATACACTCATACACATAAAATAAAAATAACAAATAAAATTTTTTTTTTAAAAAGAGGAAGTTGTGGTGAGATGTTTATTTTATATAAAACATATCTAAAAACATAGATAAATTGCACTTTGGAGCAAAAGTCATTATCTCTCAAAATTTATTTATATTCTTAATAGGAACCATGTTGTAATTTGTTAAATTGTTAGTTTTAGCTTACATGAGAACTTATAAGCCAGTTTGATACCAAGTAAGTTATTATTATTTTAAAATAATTGTTTCCTTAGTAGTAAACATAAGTCTACATATTCACAACAGTCCTACAAAATAAATATTGTGGTTAGTCACAATGTTGACAAACTAGCTTCCTAAAGACATACCTCAAGATCTTGATAAAAATTCTGATCAGAATAAAATGTGACTCTAAAATTTAAAACAGTCAGAATAGTAACATATAAGATCTTTCACGGTTTACACAGCACTGTGAGTCTCCAGTTGTGGAATGTATTTTTCCATTGTAAATTAAAATATGAGCATATTGAAAATTAATTTCAATGATATGTTTTAGTTTTACTTTATAGTATTATTTTCATTACAAAAGTTGCATTAAGTTTCCATTAATGGTCTGATTGGTCTTCAATATTTCATAAGTGTATGTAAAAGAAATTCTTAAAAGCCAACAGAACTACACACACACACACATACATACACACATACATGCATGCACACACACACACACGCACACAGAATCTCATCTCAGAAATGGCTGTACTCAACAGAGTCACACACATTGATGCTAAACATAAGGATTTTTACTTGAAGAAAGCATTTTCAGAAATGTCATTTACATTCTAATATGACAAATATTCCCAATTGGGTTTCAAACTCAACAAGTGATGGATAACAGACTTATACATTCATTTGTACTCAAAGCTAACCACAACCAAAAGTTACAGTACGATTAAAACAAGCTAATGCTTAAAAAGTTTTAAAGACAATTCCATTAAAGGAGATCACAAGAAATATTTGGTCTTAATAAGGCAATACAAAATTGATCCATTATTAAAGACCATTTAAAGACTGACAATACCAAAAGCATAAAGAGTATAATAAAATAGTTTTCATGAGTATGATTTAATTACAGTTATTTGCAGTTAACTCTCTCCCAAAGTAGTATGCAGGAACTTAGAAAAAGTGGGAGGTAGAAACACAAGCACATGGGACACAGGGTCAGACTGGCCAGCATGCGAAGTCGGTAGGGTTTAGAGTCTTGTGACAGCAAAGCCTCAGGCCCTGGGAGATCTCCTGCTTCCTATGAGGAAGAAGGGAGGAGAAAAGACTGTGAAAAAAACAGTCACGTCATGGCCCAGTGCTCAAGAAGATACACTGTAGAGAGCAGTTGTGAGTTAATTCTCAAAGATGTCTAGAGGTTGTGCAATGTATGTACAAAAGTACATAGTAATTTTTACAAAATAAAATAAACATAATAAAGTTTAAAAGTAGTTATTCTGAACACGTCGTCTCATTTTGTCTCAGGCTGTTTTCTTGGAGGCTGTTCTCTTGGATGAGTCTAGGTGATTTCAAGCAAGTCTCTGGCCAGAGAAACAGAAGCGCAGCTGCCACATGGCCATGTCCAGGAGCCTGGGGAGCTCTTCCAAGTTTCAGAGACCTCCACTCAAGCCAAACCAGGATTCCTGGCTTTAATTGTGGAAGGGAATTTTAGGACTAGCTACTATAAAGGCAGTTTAATGCAGACTTAAGCATGAGAGTTAAAGACAAAAGAGTTGCTCCAGGGGAGAAAAGTGTGAGATACAACCAAGTGAGCAGAGCTTCCTGAAGAAAAGCAGTTTTCCCCAAACAGGCCCTGTGGAACCCTGCTGCAGGAAACAGAGGACCAAGGACACAGCCAGAAAAGATGAGCCCAGAAGATCGGAATTTATCCCCAGCTCTGAAGATGAATTAACATACTAGTCAAACCTACAGCCAACAGGAGTTTGGTTTTCTCAAACCATTTTTTTCCATTTGTTAGATTAGATATGGGAAAAGTGTCCAGAGGAAAAGGAAAGGAAAATCTCTGCTAGTGAATTCAGAAGGTCAGACTCAGACCTTCTGAAAGCTCTTCCAAGTTTCAGAGACCTCCATTCAAGCCTGAAAGCAACAAAGACCAAACTGAATGTTGAAACCAAAATGCTTTCAAAGCAAGCAAACAAAAGAGATACTTTAAAACAAACACTTTCAAAGTAAACCAAACCCAAAAGGTATCTAACAAATAAGATCCTTAAACAACCAGCTCAGATACCATTTTGTATAAACAATTGGCATTTGTGACAGGAGGCAGAGGCAGGTGGATCTCTGTGAGTTCAAGGCCAGCCTGGTCTACATAGTGAGTTATAGGACACCTGGGGCTACAGGGAGACCCTGTCTCAAAAAGACAAATAAATAAATAAGTTTTGTGAAACATTTAATAGACCCAGAGACATCGTTCAATAAATTTAAAGATATTTAGGGTATCCAAGTTCATAAGGCCTTAAATGCATCATCAAAATATCCATATTTATAAATCTGCACATGTATATTTTAATTGGGCATGCCATGCCACAATAAAAATAAAATAAAACTAATTAATTTTGTGTACAGTAAAAGAATGAAAAGAAAACCTGAAGTGACCAGTTTGTTTAAAACTGTTTTGTTGGAACCAACATATGAAGACAGTTATCATAGACATACATGACAGAATTATGTGAGATCTCAACACATGAGAAAACTTACAGACACATATGACATAATTACATGAAAACTAGGTGCACCCAAAACACAATAATCAACAAGTTTGATTAGGATGATCTTTTGCAAGTAGTCACTCATCTTCTCCAGATGGACACTTCCTCCATGACCTTCTCGTAGCTGTGGAATGGTTCTCCCTCCTCTTCTGGTAAGTATGTGGCTAATTTTAGGGTTTAAGTAGCTTCCATTCAGACTGGGGATTCTCTTGACCTGATATCAAGCCATTTGACTTCACAGAAAAATTTCAATCTGGAGGGTTTTATTTTAATGCCATAATCTCCTGCATAGCCTAAAGTTGTCTGATAGACATCTGAAGGAAAGTTTGGGTCTGACACTTGGACTGGGAGGAATCCACTTGAAATTTCATATGTGTATAGAATATATGTAGTGTGTGCACAGGAGGGGTGGGGAGTGCTAGGCTCTCCCTCATTCACATGCCCCTCTGGCTGGTCACCTCTCTGTGACTTAAGAATTCTTACCTTAGGGCCACACATATAAACTCCGGGCTCAGTCACATCCTATTACAGGAGGTGAGTGCCTATTTAGGTAAACCGACCTCAGCCCACAGGGTGGGGCCTGATCAGATTCTGTAGCCACATCTGTGGAACTGTTACTTTCACTCTCACATTCACACACAACCATTCAGAGTTTTAGACAGTTGTCCTTTAAGAAAAATTGTCCCTAGTTATTCCATTAAATTTCTGTTTTACTTAAATGGGGCCAGCACCTTAGAATTACATCGAGGTTAATTGTGGTCCGCTTTCCTGTCTGATTGGAGGTTAGTTCCATCTTGGAATCGCATCAAGACTTTGTATGTAGCCTCCTGCAAAAGATCAGCCTGATCAGCCTGTCAACCTCAGGGGGCCCTTACCTGGTCACGATGTCCAGTCTGGTTCTATGTCTCACTTCACCTGGTGAGAGACTCCAGTCTGGGGCTCCACAGTCCTTTTTGGCCTCCCGGAAGGAGACCCAGGAAACTCTTTGGGGGTGCATGCTTCTCTGTTCCAGGGGTCAAGGGTGCTCCAGGGCCCAGGAGCGGCAGGCAGGCCCTGTTACCAGTTGAAGGTACAGTGATTTGATCTCACAGGAGCCTCCAGAAATGTTATAGAAAGTCAGGAGACCAGCAGCCAAGTCAGGTGAAGGAGAGTGAGTTTAATTATGATGGTGGGCTGACACCCAGATCACTCTGTAATGATGCCAGCCCCCAGCTCAAGTTTTGGGGAAATTTATATAGTCAATTCATATCTGAGGAATTCAAGCAAAAGACAAATAGCACATATGTAATAATTAAGCAAGTAAGTACATGTAAACATAATGGTCACAAAGGTTACAGGAATGTAGTAGTTTGGAAAACAAAGATTTCAATCCTGGGTAACCTGATAGAGCTGGGGAGGGGAACAGTCCTGTTTACTCTTAATTTTTATTTCTTATATTATTTTGGGGACTTCCATGGTTCAAAATTCTCTGCTTTATTTATTTATTTATTATTTTATTTATTTATTTACTTATTTATTTTTTGGTGCTTTTGAGTCAGGCTCTCTCTGTGACCCCAGCTGGCCTGGAACTCATTATGTAGACCAAGCTGACCTTGAACTCACAGAGATCCCCTTGCCTCTGCCTCTGAAGTGCTAGGATTAGAGGCATGTGCCACCATACCCAGCATGGTCCAAAATTCTTAGCCACCATTCAAAGTTCTTAGCAGACATCCTAAGGGTTTCATTATCACATTGCAAGAGCTTTTAGCAACTATCTAATGTTGTACTTCCACCACAGTAGGACATGGCTGAGTCCCCTGGAGGTGGTTACAGGCTAGGACTGGCTTCCTATGGCCACAGCCCACATTGAAGGGATGGGGTTGTGCTCTATGTGCCCAAGGTCAAGTGTCTGCATGAATAATTTGGGATGTTTCTGCATGAGAGATTTATCTCTTCTCCACACTCACTTATTCAGTCATTTATTTATGAAATCCTAGGTATCTATCTGCTTTGCATTTGGGTCAGAGCTAGCACTGCACCTCTTGTTACAGCTTTGTGATGCCTTCAGTGGTTTTCTAGTCCCCTCAAATGACCACAGGGGAAATGGGGCCCCTGAGATCCACATGCATCACCTCACCCAGGCCCAGCAATGCTATGGGGGTGATACATCGTGAGACTCTGATACTTTGTGGAGTGTTGCTCCTAGCAGGTCAGCCTGCCAGATATGAAGAGCATCCGAGAGGTGCTGACCCTAGGGCAGAGATGTTCATGTGTCTATGACAGTCATGTGATCTGTGAATCCCATACTCAATGGGTACACCAATTCTTGTTTAAAAGTAGAATTGTGGGGCTGGAGAGATAGCTTAGCAGTTAAGAGCACTGACTCCTCTTGCAGAGGACCTGGGTTTGATTCCCAGTACCCACATGGTGGCTAACAACTGTAATTCCAGTTCCAGGGGATCCGACACTGTCTCTGACCTCCGTGGGCATTGCACAATGCAGGTGACTATATACATGCAGCAATAAAATCCTTCCACACTCACCAACCCCCCACAACATCTACATACACAACATCAATGTGCACACATGTCCACTTACCTAAATATCCACATATATGCACACCAATACATACACACACACATAAAACATCCATTCGTGCATGCTCATACCATTCACTCATATATACATACCTACATACATAGGTAGGTATACACCAACACCTACATAGATTACACACATTAATATCCACACTTGGATACTCATCACAGTGCCTAAACACACTCTCACACACACTAACATCCATGTACATACTAATAATACACCAACGTGTATGTCACAGGTTTGCTTGCACCAACACCTACACACATGCAGCACCAGCATCCATCTTCCCTACACTAAGGTTGATCCACATATTAGCATTCATCCACACATACATACCAACATACATACACACACACACACACACACACACACACACATACCACACATGCCCCAGCATCCACATAGCACTCTAATCAACAAGCATATGCATGCCAATACTCAAATTCGTGTTCTCACCAACCCCCCTGTATACTCACACATGCCCTCATCTGCATACTCCATCCACTCATGGTTCACCCCTGTCATATGCACATCTCCCGCATGCTTATACACAGGCATTCACACATGATTATCTACAGGCACACACATTTTTTGTCTGTTTTTGGTGAGAGTAACATTTCTTTTTAATTTTTTAATACATTTTTAATTGAATTTTTGTGTATTTCATACAGAACATCTTAATCATCTTTAGACCTCCTTCCCCACTGGCACCTCCAACTGGAATTTATGCATTCTGTCATTTGAGGCACACACATTTTTGCACTTACCCCCACTCCTGACTCTCTGAGCTAAGCTGACCTCTGTGGAGGGTCAGGCTCCATACTGGGCCTCACACGAGGCCTCTTTTCCCTCTTATCCCTGAGGACCAGGCCATACATGAAGAGATACCATACCAGAAGTCCCATGGGGCCTCCTCCAAAAAGGCCACATTCAGCAGGCAATACTGGGTCACCTAGATGGTCAACAGAGAGCCCTAGGCCAAGCTGGGCCTTGAGCCCAAGTTGGCCCAATGCCCTAACCTGGAATTTCCCCCGCCAGATCCCCAAAGATCCTTAGTGAGTGCCCCTCTGATCCATGTGGTTCTTTCTGATGAGCCCACCCCTAGCTGGTGAGAAGCACCTCTGCTCTCTCCAGCTCCCTCCTCTCTGTCCCTGCTGGTTAATAAGAAGCCAGCTGTGGGGATGTATAAAGGCCCCAAGGCCACCAGAGCGATGCCTGTCCCAATCCCTCCACTGCTCCTTAGAGGACTGTCTGGACCCAGGTTCTGGCCATGTCCCAGTTGGTAGAGTGTGTCCCCAACTTTTCAGAGGGGAACAACCAGGAGGTAAGGAGCCTACAGGGCTGGCAGAGTATTGTGGGGTGGCAGTGCTCAGGCCAAGGGATTGAGTTTGGTATTGGAAGGAGGCTACTTTCCCAGGATGGGCAGATCTGTAGCCTGCTGGCTCCTTCAAAAGAACCATCTCCTGTCAGCCCCAGGGGCATTCCATCCATGTAGGAGACTCAGGGTGACTGACCTAGTTAGGGTGACTGACCTAGTGGTAGGAGAAGCATCAGGGCTGGCAGTGGGTCTGGGGTTTTGGGGTGCTCCTGGTAGGGGTCTGGTGAATCCTGATACTCAGTGGTCCTACCTGAAAATAAGACACCTTAAGGATAGATGCCAAGGGCTTTTGAGGTCACAGGAAAGATCATTTCCATGTATTAACGCCAGTCCCATCCTGGAGCCTTGTGAGGCAGGTCTATGGTTGGCCCCCTTATCCTACAGGGAAATTGAGGCAGAAAGGTCCTCAGGATAGGGTTTGGACTTTAAGTCCATGATCCTAATGCAGAAGGTTTCCAGCACATTGGGCCTCTTTCCTCTGTTGGCTAACAAGTCCCTACCCTGGCTGTTCCCATTGAGAGGCTACCACCTTGTCCACCTTTCTGAGTCTGGCTGTTAGCAGCAAATTTGGAATTCATTCTTTTGGCTCAGTCTTGAGTTTGGAGTGGCCATGGCTCTTGGGCTTGGGCTCATACTTATGTGCAAGGGTAAAGCCTTTCCAAGTGGGGACTGAAACATGGGGTTGGGCCTCTATCTCCAGGTTATCAATGCCATTTCCAGAGCCATCACCCAGACCCCAGGCTGTGTGCTTCTGGACGTTGATGTTGGACCCTCCACCAACCGTACTGTCTACACTTTCGTGGGGCAACCGGAGTGTGTGGTTGAGGGGGCCCTCCGTGCCGCCCGAACAGCCTCGCAGCTCATCGACATGAGCAAGCACAAGGGTGAGGACAGCTTGAGGGCTGAGCTGGGCCGGGCCTCCCAAGTATCAGTTTACAGGCTGAGCATAACACTTGTGCCATGGTGTCCTGGGAGAGGGTCAGACATAGGGATGGCGTGTAGGTTTAACCAGGATGGTGAGCAGGCTTCTCCTTGGAGGTTCCCCAGGGTTTGGGTCAGGGCTGTTCTGGGTGTGCCCTGAACTGTGGCCTTGGTGTCTGTTCCCTGAACTATGGCCTTGGTTTCTGTTCCCAGGAACAGGCTGGGGGAAAGGCAGGAAGAAGACCCTAAGATTCGGCTTAGAAACTCACACCCCTAGGGAGTAGGTACCTGCCATCCTGGATTCAATGGTTTTGCGATAATCTGCAGGGGCTCACTCATCCCATGCTTGCCCAGACTGAGCAGGGCCTAGGGGAGACAGGAGCAGATTCTGGGCTAGGAAGCAAACCTGTCAACTGCCCCATAACCAAACACGGTGGTGGGGCGGGCAAGGTCAAAGGTTGGTGGACACAGAGCTGGGAAAAAGGCCAGGTCCTCTGTCCATCCTCAGGGAGAGGTTCTCAGTGGGGAGCAGAAAAAAGTCTTGTCCAGGTGAGGAGAAACCAGTCACAGTGCTCTGGATGTGGTGTGGATTCTCTGCTGCCAGGGAAGGCAGGGCTTGCCAGCTCTCACTGAGAGCCTTGATTTTGTGACTTTTAAGAAAAAGATTTTTAAATAGAAGGTCAGCCTACTCAGGCCCTACCACCTCTCCAGGGTCTTAAGGACCTCCTTTTGCCACACATAGCCACAAGGATGGTTCTCAGGTTCTTTGGTATCCTCTTAGTGCCACTCTGGGAGCTGTTGCCAACCAGGGCTGCCACCGCTTGGCGTTGGCTGTTTCTATGGTCAGTATTGACAGCTGCAAGGATGATGGCCTGCCCCTCTTTCTGCAGGAGAGCACCCTCGAATGGGTGCTCTGGACGTTTGTCCCTTCATCCCAGTGAGGGGTGTCAGCATGGACGAGTGTGTACTCTGTGCCCAGGCCTTTGGCCATCGACTGGCAGAGGAGCTCAATGTGCCGGGTGAGTGTCCTGGAGCTTCATATTGGGGAGTCTCTGGGTCCCAGCCCCTCATGCATGCCCTTGACATCTGTTAAGAGTGTAGATGACTTACCAAAAAAAATTACTGTGAGCAAGCCACAAATGCAAATAGAAATCACAACCACATCAGAGTGCAGCCTGCATATCGTGTCCTGCTTTGCTGGGCATCAGGTACTGTTTGATTACATCATAAAGCAGTTTAGAAAGATGAGTCTGGAGGCAAAAGATCCATTCCCTCTAGAACAGAAAGATTTGGGGGCTGGGAGATGGTTCATCAGTTAAAGCAATTGCCACATAAGCATAAGTACCAAAGTTCAGAACTCCAGAAACCCACATAAATTCCTGTAGATGTAGCAGTCCACCTGTAACTTCCAGTCTTGGAAGGCAGAGACAGGAGAACCCTAGAGCAAGCAGGCTAGCAAGACTAGCCATATCAGTGAGTTCTGGATTTGTTTGAGAGACCCTGCCTCAATGAATAAGGTAGAACAACCAAGGATAAGTACTGACATAAATTTTGGGCCTTCACATGCATGTGCACACATGTGCGTGCACCCACACACATGCAAAAGCATGCATACACACATGAAACACATGCACATGAAACACGGTAAAAGAAACACATAAAACAGAAAGATTTAACTTGAAAAAACTAACTAGATCAAGAAAATGATATAGGACAAACGGAACAGAGTGCACAGCCATGATGTTGGGGGAGATGGATGTGAGATGGGCAGCCCACATGACAGCAGAGGATGGGGTCCAGCCTGGCCCTGTTGCTACCATAAACACAAGTTAACATGTGAGACTGGGGCCCATGCGTACAGCAATGAGGGGTTTGTGGGTGAGTTCTGTTTTTTTCTCCTCTGGGGTTCGCTTTACCACACAGTGAACATGCTTTTTTGGTCTTTTTGAGACAGGGTCTCCCTGTAGCCCTAGCTGGACTGGATTCGCTATGGAGACCAGGCTGGCCTCAAACTCACAGAGATCGGCCTGCCTCTGCTTCCTGAGTGCTGGGACTAAAGACGTGTGCTACCACGCCCGGCTTGAAAATGCATTTTTAAAAAGAAACATGAGCGTCTCTCATCAGCACTTTTTATACTTCCTAACTCCTTTAACTATGGCCTCCTCAAGGGTGTTGGTGTTGAGTGTGTGGGAGGCAAATGCTGTGCCATCTAGTCTGAAATACCCAGTCTATGAGGATGGAGAAGCTGGTGCTCCCCAGAGAGAGGGAGCCAAGGGAGGTCTACGCCCAGCTGTAGCTGGAGGGAGCCACCTTGTCTAGGCCCTTCAGGGATTGAGGATACTGGACTCTCACCAGCTAAGCATCTGACCAGCTGGGGTTTCTTTGCAGTGTACCTCTACGGTGAAGCAGCTCAGAAACCCAGTCGCCGGACACTGCCGGCCATCCGGGCTGGGGAATATGAGGCCCTGCCTGAGAAGGTGCTGTCTTGCATAGGTGGATGGGTGTGGGAGGGTGGCCTCCCTGCCCCTTCTCTCTAGGTGAGAGGCTAGGTCTGGGCACCTCCACTTCATCCTAGGTGATGTTCCCACAGCTCAAGCAGGCTGAGTGGGCACCTGACTTTGGCCCGAGCTCCTTCATCCCCAGCTGGGGTGCCACAGTCACAGGTGCACGGAAGTTCCTCATTGCATTCAACATCAACCTGCTCAGCACCAAAGAACAGGCCCACCGCATTGCCCTCAACCTGAGGGAGCAGGGCCGAGGGAAGGACCAGGTAAGTGTCTGCAGGCTCACTGTTTCAACTACTAGGAACTTCCCTGGAAACTCCTGAGGAGACTGTTCACTTTGGTGTCCCAGCCCTCTTGTGGGTCCTCAGGGTCAGGGTTCAGTGTTCAAAATCGGGAAGCCCTCTTTTCCACAGTAGCAGACAAGGTCAAGCCTATTGTATAAACAGTTACTTAGGGCTGGAGAGATGGCTCAGTGGTTAAGAGCACTGACTGCTCTTGCAGAGGACCCGAGTTCAATTCCCAGCACCCACATGGTGGTTAACAATTGTCCTAACTCCAGATCTAAGGGATCTGACACCCTCTTCTGACCTCCTCAAGGCATTGCGCGACATGGGTGCACTTACACAAATGCAGGCAATACATGCGTACACATAAAAAAAAGTAATAAATAAAATATTAAAAAAATAAAGTTACCTAGCAGTCCCAGGTGTTTTCACATGTCCCCATGACTCTCTGGATGCTCTGAATAATCTCCAAATGTCTTTGTAAACTCCCAAGTGTTCCAGGGAGCCTTCCCCATCAAGTCTGCATAGAAATTGTCCCTTAGCTTGAGCATCACTCCTATACAGTCCATGTCAGACACAGATGACATAGATACATCTGGTGAAAGGTAGTAGAGGGACTCTCTGCCCATCTGTCTCTATCCACAGAGGCCCAGATCTTACCAGGCACTGAGGCCTCAGGAGCCCAGCTTTCTGCAGATTCAGTAGTTTATAAGCACAGTATGAAGCACAGTGACCTTCCAGTCCTTCTTTATGCCCTTTCCAAAGGTGAGGTCAGAGTTCCTACCTTAGGTGGACTGGTCACCAAAGAGTGAGGGACATAGTGACTACTATGCAAGTGTATGGGAGATGGAATGTTAGAGGAGTTGGAATTCCCACCGACTTCCCACATCAGTGTCCCTAGGTCTTCATGATATGGTGAGGTCAGAGATTGGCACCAAACCTAGCCTTTGGGGCCTCAGTTTTCCTGAGGTCAGCAAGGCCTTGCCTCAACACCTCTCTGGTCAGACCAAGTAAGAGATAGGAAGAGGAAGGAGAGCCATAGTGCCAACCCAACTTTCTCAGGCCATCTTGCTTGCTTCATCTGGTTAAAGAATACAAATACAGTGGCTTTCAGAGCCAGGCATCAGGAAGGCTGGGCAGGGGCCAGGCAGGGGTGGGCTTCTTAACCCAGGCTGAGAAATGCCTCTCTTTTGCAGCCAGGGCGTCTGAAAAAGGTTCAGGGCATCGGCTGGTACCTGGATGAGAAGAACTTGGCTCAGGTGTCCACCAACCTCCTGGACTTTGAGGTCACACCACTACACACAGTCTACGAGGAGACTTGCAGAGAGGCACAGGTGGGCAGGGCAGGCACCCGTACCCTCCTGACATTCTGAAGCCCCCAGGCACTGACCTTGCTTGTGCTTTGCAGGAGCTGAAACTTCCCATAGTAGGCTCGCAGCTGGTGGGCCTGGTGCCTCTGAAGGCCCTGCTGGATGCAGCAGCCTTCTACTGTGACAAGGAGAATCTGTTTGTCCTGGAGGAGGAGCACCGGATCCGGCTGGTGGGCTGTGCTCATGTAGGGGGAGGGGCGAGGCACCAGGGGAGGCTGTGGGCCTTCAGCTTCTCCAGGAACAAGCTGATGTTTATTCCCCAGCAGGGCCCACCCTAAATTTTCTTCTTCCTTCAACACCTTTGTTTTATTGAGTGCGCGCGCACGCGCGCGCGCGCGCGCGCGTGTGTGTGTGTGTGTGTGTGTGTGTGTGCGTGCGCGCGTGTGTGCATGCATATACGTATGTGCGTGTACGTGCATGTGCATGCATGTGTGCGTGTGCGCGTGTGTGTCTGTGTCTGTGTGTGTGTCATACTTTCTTTGTGAAAGAAATGTGCACTATGAACATTTCTTGTTCTCTGCCTTCCGTCTTGTCTCCTGCGCTGGCTGCTCCTGTGAAGATCTGTATGCCCCTTGACAGCCCCCTCCTCAGGAGGTTCCTTGCATCTCTGTAATTGGCAGTTTTTAAAGATCACGTGCCCAGGGCACTTATTTCCCCCAACCCCATCTACAAACGGCTATTTTAGGAAGTAGTTCTGTGTGTCTATGGCCCCTTGCTCAATCCCGTGGGCCCAGATTTTGCTCTGGGGTGGCTGTAATTCCAGAGTTGTTGATCTATCTTTTCCTCATCCATTCATGAAAATCCTTCTTGAGTCATTTTGTTTTAGGGGTGTGTATTTTTCATAATAAACACATGAATAAATTTATTGAAAAATTTCTTTCTCAGCAGGTATGTTTAACCTATTTGTATTCAGTACGGTAGCATGTAGGTGTGGACTTACTTCTTGCATTTCATGTTGGGGTGCAGGGCATGTGCATGTGGTTTCCTTCCAGTTAGTACAAGTATTAGAGTCTATTTTAGGAATTGTGCTTATTACCTTTGTCATAGAACATGTTACCTCAATTTTCATCTGTGTGTGTGGAGGAGAGCTGGGGGTTAAATCCAGGTCTTGGAGCGTGCTTGGCAAGCACTCTCACTGCTGGGTCACAACCCCCAACCTTATTTTTAAAATTCAATTTAGAGTACAGTGACTGTCTACCATGAGACTGAGAGGTCCATCTCTTCCTTCTCTATCTCCAGGTTTTTTTGACATATTTTTCTGGAGGATTCTTTTTTTGTGTGTGGTTAATTAAACTTTTAAGTTTAAATAAAACACTGAATCCCTTAGCACTGGTTATCAACCTTTGGCAAGTCATTGGCTCCTGGTAAGGAAACTAGTGCACTCACATTGAGCAGAGTCTCAGTTCCAGTTTTAAATCCTGTTGTTATTCTCAACATCTCCAAATCTGAGAGCCATATCTACATACATCAGCTCTGTGGCATACCTTAGCTACATGTCTTAGTAAGATCTTTACCAGTCTGCCTCTCAGGCTGCCCTGCTGTGCTTCTGTTTATTGGTTGAATTTCAGGATCAAGTAGGCCATTTTGACAGGCCCACAGGACTTTACTAAGTGGTTCTGACATGTTCAGAATATCTTCCTATGACTTTTATGTGCGTACATGCACAAGCAAGTTCATGTAGGCTGTGAATTTTGGCAGGAGTGATGTGGCTTCCTGGAGCTTCACGAGGCCACCATGCTAATTTGCCTCTCTGTGCCAGCTTTGGTTTCTGCAACAGGGTGGTGTCCCCTTACCCAGGCTACACACTGCAATGTTATGCAGAAGGTTCTTTAAAAAATGTAAATACCTCTGGAAATGCCAGGGGCAACCATGTTCTAACTTTATCCTTTCCCTTGTCCCACATGCATTTAACATCACTAATGTTCCTTTCATTTGGAAATAAAGACAGCTTTCTTTCTTTCTCTCTTTCTCTCTCTTTCTTTCCCTCCCTCTCTCCCTCCTTCCTCCCTCCTTCCCTCCCTTCCTTCCTTCCTCCTTCCTCCCTCCCTCCCTTCCTTCCTTCTTCCTTCCTTCCTTCCTTCCTTCCTGTCTTCTTCCTTCCTTCCTTCCTTCCTTCCTTCCTTCCTTCCTTCCTTCCTGTCTTAATTTTTTTGAGACAGGGTCTTATGTAGGCCAGGCTGGACTCAAGATTATAGGGTTTGCCACCACACCCATTTTATGTGTATATCTCCAGCCTCCTTTGTTTTTAACATGTGATTTTATATTCCTTATCTGAAGGCTTTGTTATCTACAGTCTTTACAAACTATTTCTGCTGTCTTTCTGACTTGGTGAGTTACTGTTTTCTTCCTGGACTTGGTGACTTTGGACTGTATGTGTCTGTGCTAATCCTTGGACATCTGGGGAAGGGGCTTGTGCTTACATTAGTCATTTGTTTGTGGCTACTACCATCCTGGGCCACTTTCAGCTAGCCTTTTTATTTGAGTGCTGGTGACAATTTTGCAGTTCCAACTTGTCCCAAGAGAGATTTCCTTCACTCTGAAGGGCAGGGACAGAAATGTATCCTCACTCCTTTTCTCCAGCAGGCATTTTCCTAGTTCATCCATGAGGAAGTCATCTCTAGGGGTAATCTCCAGTCTGACCTCACTCTGAAGAACCAAGACTCACTTTCTAGGGTCTCTCTAAGGCTAGTAGGCCCCTGGATTTGCCTCTGTCACTTCTGGTCTTGAATGACTTCCTGCCACTCAGCTGAGCATCTTTGTTAATTTAAAGCATGCTCTCTCCCTGAGGTCTGTTGTCCCCATTCTGTCCCACTGCTTGCTGACTCTGTGACGGCACTCTCTAGAGGAACCCTTTCCTGTCCTTTACCTGTTTCAATGACCTCCTTTGGAGTGCACCTGACTTGAGTCACTCAGGTATGTTACTCTCTGCTGCTTTTCAGAAGGGAGGACCGCTGGCCTGGGCAGTGGGAACAGTTGTAGTGGTATAGTTCCATAGAGAGTTGAATGGTTTTGCTGAGATAAATTCTGATCTTAAGGGACTGTTCCAATTCTGGTGGGACTGTTTTAAATTTGTCCTAAATTTAGGTGAAACTCAGTTTTCTTCATATTTTGCCCCTGACTCTAAGAACCAGTTAGATTCTGAACAAATTAGAATCTTCTCTCAAGAAGAGGGTTTAGTTGGCCACTGAGGCGCCTTCATGAGGGAAGGTGGGCAAACCTTTCTTTGACCTGTTTCCTATGTGGGAACAGCATAGGTGTAGGGGAGTGTGTGTGTGTGTGTGTGTGTGTGTGTGTGTGTGTGTGTATTTCAATCTGTCAGGCAGCAGGTCAGCAGGACTCCTGGGAAGGGAGTGTAAACAACCCTCCAAAGGACAAAACTTGTTAAGGGGCAGCTAAGGGGGTGGTGGGCAGCCGGCTGAGGTAAGATGCCCACTCTCCAGGTGGTGAACCGACTGGGCCTGGATTCACTGGCACCCTTCAACCCAAAGGAGAGGATTATCGAGTGAGGAATTTTTTTCCACCCGCCTCCATTCTGCTCCCTTCATGCCCCTTCTTTTCTCCCTTTACCCTCTCCTCTCCCCTCCCTTCTCTGCTCCTCCAGCCTTCCTGCTTGCCTGCCCCCTCCTGTCCTGCCTGCCCCCTGTCTTGTGTTCAGCTTGGGACTGGGGGTTGCGGTGTGTCTCCCCTCCCCTGAACCACTGCCACCCCACAGGTATCTGGTCCCTGCTGGTGGCCCTGAGCAGAGCCTGCTGGACAAGTCCCTGCGCACCTTTGTTGGGAAGGTGGGCGCCCGTTCAGCTGCTCCCGGTGGGGGCTCTGTTGCAGCAGCCACTGCAGCCATGGTGAGCGGCTGGACCTGTGGAAGGAGGGACCATGGAGGGCTGGACCCCCAAAATGGGAAATCCTGAAGAGTGGGACCCAAGAGTGGGAGACTCCGTAGGGGGAAACCCTGTAGGGTGGGACCTCAATTCATCTCCCTGCCCTGGGGTCACCTACCAGAGGACAGGGTGGTCCCTGGGCTCTGGCTTGGGGTGGTCAGTGCCTTGGGAAGCTCCCACAGCTTGCCCTTCATCAGGGTGCAGCGCTGGCCTCTATGGTGGGCCAGATGACCTACGGGCGACGCCAGTTTGAGCACCTGGACTCTACCATGCGGCGACTTATCCCACCCTTCCATGCTGCCTCTGCCCAGCTGAGCTCATTGGTGGATGCTGATGCCAAGGCCTTTGCTGCCTACTTGGTGAGTGTGCAGGACTGCTTGACCTGGCCCCGCCACAGTGGTCTACAGACCTGCAGCCAGGGGTCAGGGTCACTGGGAAGGTGGCACGGTCTGTCTATTCCAGGAGCCTAGTTTGTGGCGCCTTCTCTTCCTACAGGCTTGAGAGTCCAGCCTTTGGAGGGCATGGACCTTGCCAAAGGGAAGGGAACTGCAGAAAACAAGACCACAGAATGGGGGACCCTGGAGTGGGGGATCCTGGAGGGATACAGGTTGGCCACCCTGAGTGGGAGAGTGGACACTTCTCATAGGCTGGTCAGCCAGGGTGGGAGCCAGACCTCTGAGACCAGAAAGAAGGAAGCCCCATATGAAGAGCAAACGAAGTCATAGAAATCCTCACAGAACAAAAGCTGGAGATTAAGGACTCAGATTAAGAGGGTTCCTCAGCCATAAAATAAGAAGAGCTTCAAGGAGAAGTGGCAGGTGGGAAGACCATCTTGAGATGTAATTGCTTGCTGTGTGTGGACTACAGGGCAGAAGGGTGCAGAGCCAGACTCTGAGAAGATGGAAGAGATGGGCAGAAGTGAGAGACATGTACATGTAGACTGGAGATACACGCAGAGACATAGGGAGACGGAGATAGAGAGAAAGGGGCAGAAACCAACAGACAGGTGCATACACAGGTTTAGACACACACAGACATACAGAGATACAGAGAGAAGGAGGTAGAGACAGGACATATTCAGCCACAAGCAAAGTCATAAAGGCAAAGAGAGGCAGAGAGGCATTTAAAGAGAAATATTAGTTTATATAGAAGCATTAAAAATTCAGAAACAAACCTAAATTTGGATATTAGAAGTAAGAAACATGGTAAATACTTGGAAAACAGCTGTAGGAGAAAAACTGGCAGATGAAATTTAATTAAAAGGCAGAAAAGAAAAATGACACTAAACATCAAAGGTATGAGAAGGTATAAAATAATATAAAATGAAGTAGATTTAAGTGTTGGATTGGTAGTGTTCCTCATGTGCAGCAAGAAGAGGTGTTTGGGAGGAAAAGGCAGAGGAAGGACCAAACACTTAAATTCCCAGAAGCAAAATGCCAGCAGTGTGCTTTTCTTGTCAAACCAAAAACAATAAAAATGAAAAACATTAAAACTTTACAATGAATGAGGAAACAGAACTAATTAGTGGCCTGCAGCAGGGAGGCCACAGGAAAGGCAAGAGGCTAAATCTGCAAGCTTGGATCAATGGGGATGCTGAAATGCACATCACTCCTTCACTCAGAAGTGCCATAGTCCCCACACAGGAGGAGACATGTGTGCTGCCACCGTGACAGCTAACAGGGGACATAGTGTCTGCTTAGCATCTGCTGTCATCCAAGGCTGATGGAAGGGACACTGACAACTTTCTTTTGCAAGGCATGTGGCACCACGGCAGAGGCCTCCTAGGGTTTCCAGTGTTAGGGCTGGTTTCTTACCGTCTTGTATTTAGACTGAGCATGGTGCAGTTGCTTGTGCTGTTTTAAATTTGTGTTGGCAATGGGACAGCCTGGTACTGTAGGAAGGAAGGATGTTGGGTAGAATTCAGGGCCCCTGCAAGGGTTTCAATCTCTTTTTCTAGAAACATGGTCCTCAGAGAGTGCCACCTACTTTCCTGTTCATGACAGCAATGTGGGCCTGTGACACTCAGGCCCTGGTGCCAAGGCCTGAAAACCACAGACACCCACAGAAGCACCATTCCATAAGAATGTGTCCCTGTCTGTGGCCTGTGGCACATGACACAGTTCACTGGGAAATGCCCACACTGGAGGCCATGCATGGGTGCTACCCATGCTACCCTTGGCTGCCATTTCCCAGGATGCAGCAGGGGATAAGTCCATCCCCTCATGGTCACTCACCATGTATGTTTTGGTCTTTTTTTCTGGTAGGAGGCCATGAAGCTGCCCAGGAATACACCCGAGGAGAGGGAGAGGTGAGTGTACAAGGCCAGGTGGTGGCCGGGCATGGTGGCGCACGCCTTTAATCCCAGCACTCGAGAGGCAGAGGCAGGTGGATCTCTGTGAGTTCAAGGCTAGCCTGGTTTCCATAGTGAATCCAGGACAGCTGGGACTACAGGGAGACCCAAAAAAAAAAAAAAAAAAAAAAAAAAAAAAGGAAAAAAAGGAGAAGGCCAGGTGGCTCTTCTAGACCCTCAGGCCATGGGTGTCAGTGCCTGGGGAGTTGACACAGCCTCACCACAGGCAGCCAAATGATCATTCTGTTGTCATTCCTGGGTCTGTGTACTCAGCCTAGAAGAGAGGGGCTGCATTGGATGAGATGAGGGTGCACCCCATACCCAGCTCACATCACTGCTGCCTGGGTTCTAGGCGCACATGTGCTCTACAGGAGGGGCTGAGGCAGGCAGTTGCTGTGCCATTGACACTGGCAGAGACCGTGTCCCAGTTGTGGCCTGTACTACAGGAGCTGGCCCTGTGTGGGAACCTGGCCTGCCTGTCTGACATGCAGGTATGTGGGCCCCGGGGAACCATGGCAGCTCAGGATAGTCTTGGCATTCTCCACCAGCAGGGCTATCTCCTTTAGTTCTTTTTTTAAAAAATATTTTATTATCTTTATTTAATATGTATGAGTGTATTGCCCACATGTATGTAAGTGCATCCATGTCATGAAATGCCCTTAGAGGTCAGAGGAGGGCATCAGATCCCCTGGAACTGGAGTTAATGGACAGTTGTTAGCCACCATGTAGGTGTAGGGAACTGAACCTGGGTCCTTTGTAACCACTGAGCCAGCTCCCTGGCCCTTGTTTCCTTTAACTCTTGTTAAGGTCTTATTCAATGTTGCCCTGCAGTTGAACAACAGCAATTTGGGTGTCTCCAGAGCCTCACATTGGGATATAGTACCCTTCCCCCAACATCCTGGGAAACAGCTGAGGCAGTGTGTGGACACAGATGTCACTTATTTGTGTGTCACATGGGGAATGTAACAAACAGAATCATAGACCGTACTCCTGCAGCCAGCCGAAGACCCTATAGTGTACAAGGTCTTTCAGTGTCTAGTCCTGAGGACCCAGAGAAGTGACGCTCTGCTCTGGTTTGCAGACAGTTGCTGAGGATAAGCTCAGAAGGGTGACCGCCTTTAGAACAGGACACAGTTTCCACATATACAGCCTCCTCAGGCCTCCTGGAGTCACATCCTTGCCCAGGCTCAGGTCTCAGGCCGAGGTCACTGCTGTAGCTCGCTCTCTGTGTGCAGGGCCAGGCCTAATGGTGTGTGAAATGCAGGTCCCTGCATGGAGCCCTTGCCTGCCAACTCTTAGGATGGGTTATCCTGCTCAGCCTCAAAATGAGGGGTGAGGTTTCTAAGACATGCAGGGGCATTATGAGTCCAGAACCAGCCCCTCTCTCTGGTGTGTCTTCAGGTGGCAGCCAAAGCCTTGGAGACTGGTGTGTTTGGTGCATACTTCAATGTGCTCATCAACTTAAAGGACGTGACTGATGATGTGTTCAAAGAGCAGGTAAGTGGGAGGCAGGCTTGATGCCAGACCCTGCCCAGGGGCCTGCTTTGTTTGCTCTGGCCCAGGTTGATTTCATGTTTGCCACCTGAAGGGACAGGCCCTTGCTTTCTCTCTGGGACCTGTGATGATACACTTTGAAATGGAACCAGTCCTAGCTGGGAGATGGGGAGTTGCTGGGTAGGTACCCCAGTGCTCACATCACCTCCCTGCTCTCGTGGTAGAACTGAGGGCTTGGCAACCCCAGGCTGGGGAACCCCAGGCACCAATACTCCAGGTGCCCCAAGAAGTGAACTGATTTTCTGAATTAATGGAAGATACCTGACAATTATTATTACTGTTATTATTACTATTGTAAAATTCACAAAACATACAAGTTTCCACTTTAAAGTACACAAGTCAGTGATGTTTAGCACTGATATCCATGATGTTGCATAGCCACCATTCTAGCAAGTTTCAGGACATCCTCATTCCTTCCATTAGCAGGCACCATGTTCCCCACCCCAGCTCTGGCAGTCAGTCTTGGCTATCTGTCTCTTGAGCTTTTGTAACAATTTTGGATAAGCTCTTATGCAGCTCAATTCTTACATGGGATGGTAGCAGTGGGGTCTATTTTGGAGCCAGCCCCACCCTGTTCAGCTCTAGTCAGGATGAGCCGTGTGAGCTCTGCCCTTCTGAATCTGGGAAGAAGTGGGGAGCCTGGGATGGGAGTCAGTGGATCTAGTCATCCCCAAAGCCCTTGGGACCTTGGGAAACCCAGGAAGAACTGTCCAGGATGGCCTTAGTCACTGTGAGGTGGGTAGGCCTGGGGTAGTTGAAGCCTGGACTTTTCCCATCAGGACTAGCAGGCCATAGCAGGTTGGAGGTGGTAGGATGACATACCTTTCCACGTTTGTCAGATCCGCCTTCGAGTCTCCAGCCTCCTGCAGGAAGCCAAGACCCAGGCTGCACTGGTGCTGGACAAGCTAGAGGTCCGGCAGGATTGCAGCCAAAGAGACCTCCCCTGATGGATGGTGAAAGTCCCAGTGGTCTCTTACCCATCTTAAGGGGCCCAGGCCTTGAGTACGGGTGGGGAGACTTGGGCATGATCTTTGCAATATCAGGATGGGGCTCTACACACAGCTTTCCATATGGGATCAGAGGATGCCAAGAGGCAATGTGGGGTAATAGGGAGGGGATAAGACCTGTTTGGGGTCTCCTGCAGGTATGCAGCCTGCCGCCTTCTGTTACCTGCAGTTTCCAGTAAAGCGTGAGCACAAACCTGCCTGGTGTGCTTGGATTTGGGTGTAGGGCTAAGGGCCAAGTCTCAGTTGGGGGCAGGGCCAGAGCCAGGGGACCCCTTGGTCTATGAGGAATGAGGTGATAACCCCAGCCACAAGGTCCCCAGGTGCAGTGTATGTAAGGGCTGCTTCTAGGATGCTCCAAGCACTGTGTTCGTTGGAGCCCAGACCATATTGTAAGGGACAGAGACCCAGTGCACAGGGCCATCCCACTCTGCAGTGTTGAGTGGCTCCTGAGGGTTGTGAGGACAGTCTCATCTTGTACACTGGATAATTCAGTCCTAGCTGCTAGGCCACCCTCCGCCCTTCATAGAGGTCCTCCTCTAAGATCACCTCCTGCCTCAGTTCTCTATTATTAATTAAAAACTGCTACTCTGTCTATCCCATGTAACCAAAAAGTATGGTTGTACTTACTAACATAGGATATGAAAAGAAAATGACTTGGGTACATTCTTCTTAAGTGAGACAGAAAATCTAAATGCCTTAAAGGACAGACTTGCTATCTGAAAGTTTAAGTCATTTGTTTCTAAATGAGACATCATCATCTAGAAGTGATACAAATGGACATTTCACATGGTTGGAAGCAAAGGGATGGGTTCCTTCAGTGCAAGAAGTTCCCACAAATCAGGCTGAACCTAATAAGGCGCTTGGGAGGGCCATCCCAGTTCAAGTGAGGGGCCCTGGGCAACTTGTGCATTAAAAAATGCCAATGACCTGCCAGGGACAGGACAAGGATGGCTGTGACCATGGGTCATGCTCCCGCCCTAGGATCATTTGCTTAAGCATCTCTTAGGGCTCATTTTGCTTTTTCTTCAAGGCAGCAACCTGGATCCCAGAGGACTGCCTGGGTGTGTATGAGTGCAGGCCTCGAGTTCTTGAACTCAGCCCAGCTCACGTCTGTGTACCACCAGGTGTTGGGTGGAGGCTGCAGGACCCTAGCTTTGGAAGAGCTGGGCTGAGTTAGAGTTAGGGTTAGGGTTAGGGTTAGGAAGGTACAGCACCAGCCTGAGGGAAGGACTCCTTTCTGGGGCTCAGGGTTCAGCAGAACTTCAAGAATGCAAGGTCATTGGCTCAGAGCTTAGTGGGGAGTGCTCAGAATCATGCAGGAGCTGTGCCTGCAGGGTGGAGGCACAGAGGCTGCCAGTATCTCACTTTTCCTATCCTTCATGGCTGTCTAAGCTGCTGGTCTCAGATGAGGGTCCTACCGAGGGGGACTTCTCGAGGGGTTTGGAGAGGAGGCAACCAGATGAAGACCCACTATTTCAGGCTTCACATTCTCTCCCTGAGCTCTGAGGAGAGAAGTCTAGGTGGAAGTGTGATACAGCTAGGACCTTGAGAGCATCTGAAAATGTTTGTGTGAACTTCTTCCTGGTCAAGGACTGGCTACAGTTTATTCCATTGTTGTGTAGGTTCTTGAATACATGACTCTAGTCAGCACCACAGAGGTCTAAAGGCACATGGGTGAGTGGACATTGGAAGGATCACACAATGAGGAACTGTGATTTGGCCATGGTGAGGGGTTTTCTTAGGGAATACTGGAGAGGAGGTATTGGTGAGGGGAAGATGGTGAGGGGATGGTGCTTGGGAGAAAATAGTGAGGGGAGGGGGTGAGGGGGATGTTGGAAGGGGAGCTTCGTATAAGGATGGTGGTAAGGGAATTTTGGTATGGGGAATGTGGTGAGGGGATAGTGGCAGGTAATGATGGTATGGAGAAGGGTGGATAGATTTTGTCCAGGGCTGGTGGTGGTGTTAGGCTTGTGCAGGTAATTTGTTGTTGAAGATGCTGTAGGGGATGAGAATGCTGTGCTATGGTGAGGAGATCTGGTGACAGGACAGTTGTGACAGGTCATTGGTAGGATTATAGTCATGAAGGAAATTTGGCCTGAGCCCATTAGTGATGGGTGTTGTTGAGGATGTAGGGTGTGGATGCTGGAGAAAGGATATTGATGTGGGGATGTTTAGTACGTTAGAGATGGGATGTTGCATGAGTCATAGAGTGTTGCTAGGAGAATATTGGTGAGGAGATGTAGGTAAGGGGATACTGGAGTGAGAAACTGGTGAGGGTGTGATGACTTGATGTCAGTGAAGAAGGGGTGTTTGCAAGGGGATCATGGTATGGGCATGTTGGGTAGGGGATGTTGATGAGGGGATTTTAGTGGGACTCACTGGGGTTGGAGGGATAACTGCTAAAGGGACACTGGTGGATGGAAACCTCTCCCAGATCACTGGTGTCTGAAAGTCCTTTCTGTGAGACTGGCTTTCACACTACCCTAGGTCTGAAGCTGCACATGCAAGGACTAGTATCACAGAGCCGGGCCTTGGTCATGGTCATGTGATCTAACTGTGTTGGGTGGAGGGGGCCCTCCATGTCCCTCTGCCTTCCCAACCTGTGAGGTTCTCAATGCATGAGTGGTGGTTTGGGGTTGACTCTCAGGTTGTGGGGACTTAGGGGATCAGGTTAGTCTCTTGCTGGTACTTTGGTTCTTTGTGGGGAGAGGGTTAGGATTAGGGCTTGCAGCTGCAGGCTGTGTAGCCAGATGGCAGAGGTGGAAAGTCAAAGAGATCATGACATGGTATCAGAGTGTTATGGGATGAGTGCTCATCCCAAAATGCATGGGTTGACTTCCAAAGCCCCATACTGTAGAGTGTGGCTTTATGTGGAAAGGAGGACTTTGCAGATGTCACCCATTATGAAGAATTTGTACTGGAGTAGTACAACAGGATTAGTATCCTTTGAGAGGGCAATCTGGAGTAAGGCAGAGGTAGTGGGGAGATGACCGCCATTCCCAGCAGTGGTGGGCTGTGGAGAGCTGCCTGACGGGGGCATTGCCAAGTTTCTCCAGGACCACAACTGAAATCCGTTCTTTGCAGAGCATAAGTTATTAGGAAATATTAAAAATGTAGCCAAGGACACTAATAGAAACCTTTTGGTTATACCCTATAAATATTTATATTAAATATATATATTTATTTAAAATAAGTGTTTTAAGTATACCAAAAGTATGTACCCATCAAGTCAAAAAAATAAAACACTTAATCAAGATAAACCTAAAGAAACAAATAGGGTCCACCAAAATACACAAAACCTTAAAAAGGGTGCTAAAACCATCTGTCTCCAAAGGGGAGAGGCTAACTGCTCATACAGGAATGCAATAGGACAGGGATCCTTTTAATACCAATATCCAAGCCAGTTCAAAGAAGTTGCCAAGTCCTTGTCTTCAGGTTGGAGCAAAGTTATCAGAGGACACTGGAAGTCAGCATGATTGTAAACAGAGGAAAAAAGGCCAGGCGGGGGCGGGGAGGCGAACCAGAATGGGCTCTGGAGAGAGATGACGGCCTGGTGCCAAGATTCTACTCTTGCAACACATTCTTGAAGTGGAATTAATGGCTACTGATTGAAATAGCAGGGCTTCAGACCTGCAGACATCAGTAATGGTGATAAAACTGGCCTCGATACCTGCATAACTTATTAGAGCTTGTTACTATTGTAAGGGAAGAGTCAACAGGAAACAAGGGGTTAACACACATTTACTTGATCTAAGGTTTGAGAAATGTAAATCCTTGTAAACCCATGGAGCTGAAAATATTTCACTATAGCGGTGTAAACCTGTGTGTTGCTAAGGAGAACTGTCTGTCTTTCCTATCACCTCATGCTGTAAACTAAGAGACACGTAAAAATTGTTCCACTGTTGAGAAAAAAAGTAAAGGGAACTTGGACACAGATGAGCATAGGGAAACCATTATGTGAAGACTGCAGTGACACTTCCTGCTGTGGAAAGACAGGGGAGTGAACCAGAGCCTGGAGGGAGGCCTGAGGTCTAGGACAGACCCTCCCTGTGCCTGCAGAGGTATGAGTCCTGCTCATACCTCACATCTGGACTTGTGGCCTCCAGGTCTGTGAACCTAGGAGCCTTAGTTCCCTTCTACTTCTTCCCTTCCTCCCTTCCTCCCTCCCTTCCTTCCTTCCTTCCTCCCTCCCTCCCTCCCTCCCTCCTTGCCTATCTCCTCTTCCTTCCAATGCTAGGATCAAACCCAGGACCTCATGCATACCAGGTAACCCTCTGTCACTGAGCCACACCATAGCCCAAGACAGTGATCTCTAAGCCACTCAGTCCCGAGTACCTAGTCATGCAGGTCTGATACATGGGGCAGAACATCTGTCCTGGGAAACCCACAAATCCATGTTGAACCTCTGGGAGGGTAAGTGTGGAAGACCTGGGCTCTGTGCAACCAAAATCATCCACATTGCAATAAGAATGTCTTTGATGGTCATCATCTTGTCCACCCACTGTCCACCAATTGTCCATTCGTGGGTGCCTCACTGAAGCCATAGGTCAGTCTGAGAACACCCTGCCCTGACTGGGGACTAGGGGATAACTCAGGATCACAGTGGTGTTTTAGCCTGGCACTCATTGGCTAGGGTAGAGTCCACATTGAGGCTGTGCTGACCATGCACTTGGGGATGATGGTGTAGGTAGCCAGCACCTTTTGGCAGTCCCTATCTCTAGGAGAGAAGGCCAAGCTGGGCAGGAGGCCAGGGACCGATGGGCTCTGGTGAGTGTGCAGATGGTCTGAGTGCCCTTTCAGTGGCAGGAGGGGCCCAGTGAGACACATGCCTGAGCAGACACTGGGGAGCTGGCAGCAGCAGGGAGGTTCAAAGCCTTTATTGGGCAATGGGTGTGCCACATGGGGCTCTCAGGCCTGGTCTCCTGAGCTGTGGGATAAAGGGCAGAGAAGGGCGGGGCCCCAGGTAGGGCTGGTACAGGTCAGCAGAGAGCCTTTGGAAGAGGCTACAGGTGAGGGAGCGGCAGGGAGGCATGAAAGAGGGGTGGGGGGTCCCCAGGGGAGCTGGTGGTGGGCAAGGGACCTTGGGGTCAGAGTCCTCTTGTCCTGACCTTGGGAAAAGGGCTCTTACTCATCAGAGAGACCCAGGTGTACAGTCTAGCTGGGACTGGCAGGGCTGGGGTTCAATTAGCACCACAGAGGAGAGATGGACAAGGGGCTGGTAGGCATGCGGGCAGGCGCTAACAGATCCAACGGATGAATCTATCAAAGAAGCTGGGCTGGGCCAGGCTGTCAAAGTCCTTCTCACGGAAGATGGCTGCCCTGTCACCCAGGCTGATTTTGGTAAGCACATCCATGTCCACGTCACTGCCCACGGCAACTACGGTGGGCACCACATTTTGCTTGCGCATGGAGTGCACTGACTCCTCAAGGCTGTCATTGCCTGTGACACCATCCGTAAGGAAGACAAAGGACAGCTCTGCATGGCGCCGTGCCCCACCCTGTGCACCCCGCACCACATTGTTGATGGCATGCACGATGCCTGTGCCCACGTGTGAGAAGGAATTGAGGTAGGTGGTGCTCTCCAATGCTTCATGGATGGTGGTCAAGTTGTAGGTCAGTGGGAAGGCTACCCGCTGCTCGTTCTGGCTGCCATACTGCAACAAGGCCATGCGGGCGTTGAGTGGGTCATCATCTCTGCGTGCCAGCGTCAGGCGCCGTGACACCTCCTCCACGAAGCGCCGTGCCTTGTGGAAGTTCTGCTCACCCAACCGCTCAGAGCCATCCAGCAGGAAGACGATGTCCACAGGCCGCTGTGTGCACTGGGCCACGTACAGCTCTGTAGGGGAGATGTGAGGTGGGAGCAGGCGGGCGAGGGGTGGCCAGCCCGAGACTTACCTCATCTCTGTATACACTCTGCCCATTGGACCCAAACCATGAGGCTTTGAGGTTTCACCCACAGCCACCGACAGAGGCCGCAGCAGAACAGCCCTGGATGCTGGGTCACTGACTAAGGCTCCTCTGGGAGTATAATTGTCCCTTGGGAACCCACATCAGACGTCTTAAGTGCTCCCAACCTGGAGGGCCAGAGACTTGGCCAGAGGCCAGAAAGTCTACCTTCTGCTACCAAGCATGGTCTCAGCCCTGACCAGCCACATCTAGAACCCTACAAAGCCCCAAAGCCTGACTCTTGTTCCAAGATTCAGTTATTCACATAAAGGCCACTGTCTGGTGGGAGGGACAAGACAGGACCCTGGTCCTGACTCCCTCTCACAGGATCTCAACCACCACTTGCTCCTGAGTGCTCAGGGCTGGCTGGGCTGTGTTTTTCCTAGAAAGAGGAAGAACCTACATGTCCTGGGACTGTTTGTCACTTTGGTGTGCAGGGAGCATGGGTGTGACTGAGGCAGCCCAGGTGGGCCCCTCTGAGACTCACTGCCACCAAGACATCCCTTCCCCTGGTGGAAAGTCACCAGCCCTAGACATATAGGTGTCAGAGCTCAAAGGTTGGGGCACAGCCACCTGTTCACCTAGAGACACCAGGTGGGCCCAAGCCTATGAGGAAGGAGCAGGATAGTTCTATACACTGTCATGACATGGGCATTCCGGCACCCAGCGAATCATATCAAAGACAGCCTGACTCTAGTCATGAATGACCAAGAATGTTGAGGCAGGTGCCAGGGTGCCCACCCCACAGGCATGTGAGTACCTAGCTCACAGTAAGTCACCACAGCTTGCCATTTGACCACAGCAATTCATTCAGTTACAGGTTTCACTTTTTTATAAAACATTTAACATTGCTTACTACCTCCGAAGTTGAACCCTGAGCCAGTGAGTGTCTGCTATCAGGTAGTCTTTCTTACTGAGCTTATTAGCTATATAGCTTATTTAGTGCACATTGCCCCTGGAACCTGCTCAGAGTTTCTTGAAAGTTCCTACTGGCAACTGGACTTTCTAGTCTCTCATAACTGACAGACAACCCCTGGAGACCAGGTGACGCTGATGAAGATGTATAAGTGACTGGTAGTTCTGAGATTCAGGGGCTCTATGCCCCACTTCTGGGAGGGGTCCCTTCTCCTGCCAGTGACTCCCAACAGGGAGTCTGTTCCAGCCTTCCTCAGGCAGTAAGTGTGAAATATGACCCTCCCTCCACATTCCAAGAGGACAGGTTTTATCCTGAGCTAGAGGGGCATACATGGGAGCAGCGACTGATCAGCCGAGCCTAATTAGGGCTTCTTGGGTTCAGTCAGAATATGCTCACCTTGGGGGGCAGTGACTTTGCTGTGGGTCCCCTGCCATTTCCCAACATTTTATGATTCTCAGGCAGCTGGAGGCAGCAAAGTTCCTGCCCACTCCTTCATGTTACCTCCAGATACCAGGCTGGGGACATGCTTAGGCATGCTGGCAGATCAACTCTGGCACTTTGACTTAATGGGGATGACACCAATGAGCTATACCACTGACTCAGGACTGCTGGGCCACTGCTGTGTGCTGCACAACCCTTGTCACTTTCCCATGGTTTCCTGTAGGCTCTGAACATGCACCTGCCACCAAACCAGTTCCAACTAGAAGCAGGCAAGGAGGACATCCTCAAGCACTTGGATCACATTCCTCCCTCACCTGTGCCACAATGTGGCTCAGATGGACTGGGGTGGTATGGCCAACTGAATAGTGACCCCCTAAAGATGCTCACACTGCAACAGCAGAGCCTGTGAAGGTCACTATGTGGTAAAGGACTACAAACAGGAGATTAAATTAAGGATCTTGAGATGCAAACTTCTGGGATTTAGGGTAGGCCTTAAATTCAATCACTGATGTCTTTGTAAAAATGAGGAAGGGACACAGAGACAAAAAGAGAAAAGTCCATGGGAAGATGGAGGCGACACCAGTGATGTGTCCACAAACCAAGGACAGCAGCTCCAGCAGAGGCTGGAAAATGTAGGAGGGTACCCTCCAGAGAGTACAGCCTTAAAGACACTAGATTCTGGATTTCTGCCTCAGGACTGCAAGGGTGGGTCCCTGCTGTTTGAGGCCCTAGTTGTGGCGGCAGCCCTAGGAAACTATAAGCGGTGAGGGTTTGCTCTGTCTGTCTGCTCATGGTGGCCCTGAGCTTAGCAGAGTGTCAATGCAGTCTCTGGGTCCCCTGTGATGTCCCTGTGCACCAGCTTAAAGGTGTCAATGAACAGCTGCATCCAGTCCTGCCGCTCGACCCCTGTGGCGAACTTGGCCCTCTCGGCGGTGTAGACCATCACAGCCACCAGTTGGGAGTAGGCAGCTGGGTTCTGTGTGAACTCCGTGGCGTTTAGCAACTGCTGGATCAGGGGGATGGTCTTGGGGAAGGTGGGGTCCGGACCCTCTTCCGTGCGGAGGAAGGTGACCGGGGGCTCGCTGCCAGGCCACGGTTCATCTGCAAGGGAGCGTCCAGAGAAGACTTTAGGGGCTCCAGTGGATGTGGCTGGCCTCCAAGCCCTCCTTAGGCCTCTCTCCATGGACATCAGTTAGGATCAAAGAGTGGCAAACAAGCCCAGGGAGAAGAGCTAGAGACACAGCAGGTAGCAATGTCTGCCCTAAGCAGGGGGCTAGCGGGGGAGGGAGTTGGCAGCAAGCAGCATGGCCAAGGAGGCTCAGCTCAGTGGCAGCTCTGGGACCATCACAGGCTTCCAGAGAAACTTAGCACCAAGTGGCAGTGCCCATATCTGAGAGATATGCACAGATGCTACAAGCTTCCCAGAGCAGTGCTGTATCCCTAGGAAGAGCCAGCCGACAAAGTGCCCACAGACAAAGCCCACAGCTCTAACCTGTCCTTGAGATGTGGTCAGTCACCCTAGGACCTGTTCTTGAGGGTCTGAGTCCATGGCGAATGCAGACACCAACAGAGGTCAAGATCCCCCTACTCTCTTTTCCCCTTCTGCCTCCCTCCATCTCTTCTTCCTCCCTCCCTCTCTCTCTGTGTCTTGGTTTCTTAGTTTCCCCCCTTTCTGCCTCTGTCCCTCTTTCTCTCTGTCTCTGGTTCTCTTTTCCTGTCTTTATCCCTCCCTCTTTTCTTCCTTCTTTTCCTTTCTGTGTCTGTCTCTCTCTGCCTCCCTCTCTCCCTACAGTGTCTCTGTCTCTTCCTCCTTTCCTCCCTTCCCCTGGCTTCTAGTGTCTGGTGGGCAAGGAGGTCTGACTCAATGGTGTCATGGTCAAACTCACTCCCCTTGCTGTGGCAACTAAAGAGGCACAAGGAAACCCAGATTCCATACCTCAGGACTAGCCCCGGGACCTTGGACCTCACCGGGAACATTATTCTCTGGATGATCCTGTTTCTTGACCCCACCATCTGTGCTCGGTTCTTGCTACAATCTTTGTTACTGTGGCTGTTACCAACTCTATCCTTATGATCTCGAGCTTCTCTGGCACTCAGTGGTCCTCCATAGTTGACACCATCCCTGGCCTGAGGCAGGTCCAGGATGACCAGGCTTCTGGGTGGATAGGGCTACCTGGTTCAGAAGTCAGTGCTGGGTCATTGTCAGTAGCGTTACTAGCACTGTCTCCACTAGTAATGCCCATAAGGATGCTCATTTGGGACCTTGTTTGTAAAGACACCTTCTAAGGTCACTGTGTCCCTGCTCACCAGGTCTAATTTATCTTGAAATTTCACAAATCACTAAAGGGAGATGAGTTTTATAAAAGTAGAGAGAGTGTTAGAGAGCGGGGAAGTAGGGAGAGGACCCTGGGGGAACACTGTGTTCTATAGGGTCCTGAGGGCTCAGTATATGCTGAGGTCTCCATTTCTTCCTAATTCTCTTCACTGCTACCCTCTAGAGCTGGTGCTCTCAGCTCTGTTTAACTCAAAGCCTCATTCTGGAGCTTTGAGTCACCCTGTGCAAGCCAGATAAGGATATTACTAGAAAAGATGATGCAGCTCTTTGAACACAGAAATGAACCTTCCCCAAGACCCAAATGGATCAAATTCAACATGCATAACAGAACTACACCATTTGCAAGGCTTCTGCCTCAGGAACACAAGGCTCACTCAGCGTTAGAAAATCAACAAGATGGGGCTGGAGAGATGGCTCAGTGATTAAGAGCACTGGCTATTCTCACCTGGGTTTGGTTCCCAGCACCCACATGACAGCTAATAACTATCAGTAACTCCAGTTCCAGGGGATCTAATATCTTTTTCTGGTCTCCATGGGCATTACATGACATGAGTGCATTTACATACATGCAGGCAAAACACTAATATACCATAAAATAGAAATGAATTTTAAAAAGAACATCAACAAGAGTGACCATGGCTTCTATAGCTCAGGAAACCTCACAGGGTCATACCGCCAGACTAAGCATGTGACAAGAACCAAAACCTTTCTTCCCTGATGAAAAAACTCAGCCGCTAAAAGAGGGGAACGTCCTCATTTCATAAAGACAGCCACAGAAACCCACAGCTAGTGTCACACTTGATTAGAAACTTGAACCTTTTCCACTGTGATCAGGAGCAAGGCTGAGGGATCTTGGTCTGGTTTCTGTGCCAGAGGCGGGTAGCCATCTGTGTACTGGTCACCCTTATAAAGACCCCAGCTGGGCCCTAACCTGGGACTGAGTTCCTGTGCAGTACCATGTCATGGTCAGATGCCACCGCCCACTAAAGGCACAGCTCATCTGGGAGTCTAATCAAGGCTTCAGGAGTCAGGGTGGGGCTGTGATTGTGGGGTATCACTCAGAAACAAGTGCTCTGAGCCCACACCATCCTCCCCTGACAACTGTACTGGGTGGCCGAGGCCAAGGCATGCTCCCAAGTGTATTTTCTTGGTAATAAACTCTTTTAGAAAATTGTGAGACCCTGAGTCCTCAGTCTACACGGTCCCTTCCCTTAGGTTTCAGAGCCTGTCCACATGCATAGTGGGCCACCTTGTCTTCTGAGGGTCCAAGGAATAGCTGAGACTCTGAGGAGTTGCTGCTGCACACTGTAGGCTCTGAGGTCCGCTACCTTGTCCCACCCCCAGAGCAGTCCCACAGTTCAGAGCTGGCCCAGTCCCTACTCCCCTACTCAATCCATGCTCCTGGGAGGGAGCTGCATGACTCCCGAGGCTCCAGGGTTATCTCCCTGAGGCCTCTGGACTCCAGCTCCAGCTTCCCACCATGAGGGGGTCAGAAGCAAGCAAATGGCTGCTGTGTAGACATCAGTGTGCTTGCCTCTAGATGTTTGATGACATCCTCTTTTGACCATCAGTTTCCGAGCTTTCTCCCAAAAGACCAGGGCTGACTGGGCCCTGGGGGCTGGATGGCCCTGGCTATTTCCGCCCACTCCTGTTCCCCTTGGTAGGGAGAGACTGCAGATCCATGGACAAGACACTTTGGGTGCTGAAACGCCTTTCTGACCAGTGGCCAAGAGCCAAGCACAGCCAGACTAGCAAGCCTCTGTCTAGATGATGTATGGGAAGAGCTCAGGACAATACTGCATGCTCCCAGGAGCCAGGCCTCCCCGAGCCCCTGACTCCATGATGCCAGAGGTGAATCTCAAGGATATCTCCTTGAGGTGTCTCCGCAGTAGCACACCCTTGAGGCTGCACAGTCCATTTCAACAACCCTGGCTGCTAGAACAGGAAGGACACTGGGGCTGCTTGGCTAGTCTGGGGAGGGGGCTTCAGGCACCTGCATTACCTGTTTGGCAGGGAAGCTCTGGACACACGATATGGGGGTCTGCAAGAGAAGAAAGAGGCCAGGTCCCCATTAGTTCCTGCTGGGCCCTCAGCGGCTACCTGCTGCCTGCTAGGTGTTAGGGCCTGGGTCCTACCACTTACCCGGGCAGAGGACATCCTCCATGTCATCAATGAACTTCTCGGCCACCAGGTCGGAGAACAATGTCATGTTGCGCACCTGCTGTGGCTTGTCACAGGCGATGGAGTAGAGGTTCTCGCTCTCATGCCTCTCGTGGAACATGTCACCAATACCGATGGCTGTCACTGTGACATCACGGTCACACAGCGCCCGAAGGTTAAGGTCATCATCACGTGGGTCGTGGCGCCCATCTGTGATGACCACTGCAAACACGCGGGTCTTCTGGCGCCGGCTCTCCTTGATGAGCTGGTTGTAGGCAAACTTGAGGGCAGAGGGAGTCCAGGTGCCGCCTGCGATCCACTCGAGGTTCTTGACGGCCTCCTTGAAGCTGGACAGGGAGTTGACTCGCTCGTCGTCCAGCCGGATGGCCTCAAAGGTACCCTCATGACTGTACTGCACCACACCCACACGTGTGCCTACAAGGCCACAACAGCATGAGCAGTGTCCACAGGCCTGCCCTCCTATCTATGGGACCAGGGCTTGGCCATCTTGAACACAATGGTGGGGTAAGAGGCAAAGCTAGGACTCTGGCTAGTGGGAGAGATGCGGTTTCTGCCTGAGGGTCCCGCCCAGCCCCCACTGACCTGTCTCAGACTTGGGGTCCTTAGCAATGGCACCCAGCCTGTTGACCACATTAATGACAAAATTCTTCTCCAGTGTGAAGTTGGTGTAGCCAATGCTTTCAGAGCTGTCGATGACGAAGACCACATCCAAAGCACCACAACGCTTCTCACAGTCTGTGTGTGTGAGGTAGGGATGGCAGGGTCAGTGAATAGGGAATGTGAAAACTGCCAGGGTGCAGGCCCAGGGATACTGTGAGTGGCCTTACCCCCACGTACGCCAGCCCTCCTGAAACCATGCACACACCCTGATGTGCTGGGCCAACTCACCACAGCATCCGCAGGTCTCCCTCACATAGGTCATGACATCACATTCCTGCAACATAGCCCCAGTGGGCACACTCAGGCAGTGAGCACACGCTGGGGACCTGAAGGCTTCCATAGGAGTCTTTAAGCCCACACCCATTGATGTCCACACCCACACATGACAAGTGGAGCCAAGAGAAGGAGGTGTGTATTGCCAATCTCACCCTTGACTCTATTCTCTGGTCTTGTCCTTGCCAACCTGACTGCTGCTGACTTTACTCTCTGAACTAATGCCTGCAGCTCTTGACTTCTGACTCCATCTTCTGACCTTGTTTTTGCTAACCTCAAACCTGATGCCCTCAACATCTGACCTTACTTTTGCCCTCTGACCTTGCTCCTGGGAACCTCCTGTACTTGCTGCTCGTGGTTTCTGATTTTTAGGAGGGAGAAGAATGCTTGTAGCAAGGACACTGATTACACCCCTGGTTATACCTACCGTGAGGCCAGGGTCTCCAGGAGGACCAGGTTCTCCCTGAAAGATGGAGGATGATAGTGAGAGGTGAAATTGCTGGGTCTGAGTTGCTCCTGGTACCACCACCCAGGGCACACTGACCAGTGGGCCTCCTAAGGGCAGAATCAGGAGGCTTCCAGGTTCATTAGCCTGGCTGGCCCAGGGCCTATGGCCTGAAGGGCCAAGGGACAAAGAGACAGAGGTGGGCTTACCTCAGGTCCTGGGATTCCTCTTGGCCCCCGAGGGCCAGGTTCACCAGGAGGACCAGGATCAGCCTGAGGAAGAACAGGGGAGTGGGTTCAGTGCCTTCCTGGGGGTAGTCTCTGTGCTCTATACAAGTCTTGCTCCCTCTGCCATGGCCCCTGTTTGGAGTTGCAGGAGGTGTGAAGGGTTGTACTACCAGCCTCACCCTGAGGGACACGGAGATGATATAGAAGATATGTGTACAGTTGGCATCTGTTATCCACGATGGATATTTTTAGGGAATGTCCTGGCCAGCTGCTGTCAGAGCTTGGCAGGCAAGAGAGGGTAGAGGGCCACTGAGGAGCTCAAAGATGGTGCTGGGCTAGCTTACACTGACCCATCCTGTGGTCACCTATTCACCCTCATGTGGTCCACCCAGACATCCACTCACCTTTCCACCTATCTACCATCCCTCTACCCCTTGCCCACCTCATCCATCTGTTCATCTACCATCATTCGATACATTCCTGCTGTGCTATGCCTTGCCCTCACTGTTCTCCATGCACCCACATGTCTTGCTGGACACCTAGCCAAGGCTAGGGACATGGAGATGGAGAGGACACAGGCTTGGACTGTACTGAGCCAACAGGAGACGCTGGCTGAGGGTGGGGATGATGCTGGGCAATGGGGGGTGAGGAAGGACAAACCCGGCCTCTGAGCCTGGCCATTCTTTTCAAAGGTCAGTGCCAGGCAGGCTGGATGTCCTTCCGGGGCTTCTGAGCCCTCCTCGTGTTCAGGATAGTGGCCCTGGGCACAGGACAGTAACACTCACCGGCTCTCCCTTGTCTCCCTTTCTCCCAGGTGCTCCTTTCAGGCCAAAGTCTCCTCGGCTTCCCTGTGACACAGGACACAGGTTAGTCATGGGTGAGGAGTGTCTGTCTATATACTCTTGCCCCACCCTGTAAGACCTTCCAAAGTCTACCAGGGACATGGAGATGATACAGAAGATATGTGTACAGTTGGCATCTGTTATCCATGCTGGGTATTTTTAGGGAAGGCTTGGCTTTGGTTGGAAAAGGACACAGACATAGGAACTACTACCACTCAAAGCCCAGGCAGGGCTCCTATAGCCTGGCCTGGCCTGGCCTGGGGTAGGGACATGACCATGAATATGGTATATAGAGTTTCCACAATGGATGTTACATGCAGACCCCTCTACCGTCCCAGCAGGAAAAGGCTGGGTGGGGCAGTACTCCCAAGTACCTCTGGGCCTGGTGGGCCGGGCTCGCCCTTTTCTCCCTGTAAAGCAAGCAAAGATCTGACAGGTTGTTTGGGCACAGACCCCAAGTCTGGCCACAGACAGGAAGCCAACCATCTCTCAGAGTGGAGCCCAACCCTCATAGATTCCTGGTTATCAAAATTCATGCAGGACCTCACAGGTAAAGGCCTGTGATGTCTTGGTAAAGGCCGCTCATTCCATACATGCTGAACCACATTTTCCCCATTCCTGGGTGGATCCCTCCTGTCTCCTAGTATCATCTAGACCTGTCTTTGCCCCAAGTAACAGGTGAGCCTCCCTCCCAGTCTCCAGAAGAAGCATCAAAGAACTACAGACACTTTAGAGGGAGTCCCTTTCCTATGCCACAACTCACCGGTGTCCCTCTGGGTCCTGGGTAGCTGAATCCAGGCCTTCCAGGATCTCCCTGGAAGGGAAAGGCTGAGTTAGTTTGGATGGCTGATGAGGAGGTAGTACCCAAACAGTGCAGATGTGGACCAGGGTAGCATCATGCAGGCCCACTTCTGGGCTGGAGTGTGTGTGGTAGGTGTGCCTGGTGGCTCAGGGACTATGGCCCACACTGGAGAGGCCACTGGGACCATGTGGCACCCATGTGGTTACCCACCTTTCAGGACCTTGCTCTCTCTCACTGGGGTCATTATTTGGGGAGGGCTGAGAACAGGATGACTGTTTTCCTACTGTCTCCCATGCTTAGAGGCCCAGCCTTGCTGCCCCAGCCGCCAGTCTTACCAGGATCTGGGAGCAAAGGCCCTTCTCCCACCTTAGGGCCTCAAGTGCTCTTTCATCATTTTCCTGTTGGGCAATGTCACAGACCCTGGACTCCATCCCAAACAGCTGGAAGGAAGGGACATACCTTGGGACCTGGCTGTCCTGACTCTCCACGAGGTCCAGCATCACCAGGGTCTCCCCGAGATCCCTGAGGGTAAGAGAGAAGGCAGAGTTGGCCTAAGGCACCTAAGCTGGTGACAACCTGACTTGCTCAGGCCTGCTCTGAGCACATGGCAGGTCTTGGGACCAGGGCTGCCACCCGGCCTTATGGGGGTGGTGTTGGGAAGCTCCTTCAGGGAAAAGAGACTAAGGTTCACGGATGGGAGCAAATCTTGGTTTCACTGACCTGTTTGCTATGGAGATGGTGAAGAGCAGCCACAAAGAGAGGATGGATGGGGAGTTGGGGGCAGGGTTGGGAGTGGGCTAGGGGTCTGGGATAGGATAGAGAGTAGGTGGGGTAGGGGAAGAATAGAGACTGGGTAGGATTGGGGGCAGGATGGGAAGCGGGTGGAGGGTCTGGGGCACAGCGAAGAGTGAATGGGGGTTTGCAGAGCAGGGTGGAGAGTGGGCGGGGAGTGGGGCAGGGTGGATAGTGCGAGGATGGGGGCGTGAGGCAGGACGGAGAGTGGGCGGGTAGTGGGTTGGGGGTCTGAGGCAGGGTGGGAAGTGAGCAGGGTTTTGGAGTAAAGTGGGGGGTAGGTGGAGGGTTGGGGAGGGGTGGAAAGTTGGGGGGGTCAAGGGGCAGAATTGGGAGTGGATAGGGGTTGGGAACAGGATGAGGAGTAGGCGAGAGGTGGGGGGAAGAATACAGACTTGGGGGATAAAGGGAGTATGGTGAGGTGTGGGTGGTTGACAGCGGGGGTGGGGGGGAGTGGGAGCCTGGGGGCAAGGTGCTGCAGTGTTCTGCTACTAACCTGATTTCCAGGTTCCCCAAGAGCCCCCTGAGGACCCCTGGGTCCAGGCAAGCCTCGCTCTCCCTGCAAAGAAAGAAGAGGGTGAGGTGCTCTGGTCCGACGGTGCACCCTCAGAATCCTGACACCAGCCCTGTGAGTGTAGCGGGGGTGGGGGGGAGTGGGAGCCTGGGGGCAAGGTGCTGCAGTGTTCTGCTACTAACCTGATTTCCAGGTTCCCCAAGAGCCCCCTGAGGACCCCTGGGTCCAGGCAAGCCTCGCTCTCCCTGCAAAGAAAGAAGAGGGTGAGGTGCTCTGGTCCGACGGTGCACCCTCAGAATCCTGACACCAGCCCTGTGAGTGTCGTGGTTCAAGGTAAGGTAGCATAGCCACACTGGCCCTGCTGCTCGGTAGGGATCCTGCCTTTACTGGTCTCAGGCCTGTAGGGTCTGTGGACAGGTTACGGGGTAGCTGTCCTGGGTGGACCCCCCTTTGGCCTGGCCCCTGCTACCTTCTGCCTCGCGTACCTTGGCTCCTTTGCTGCCGACTTCTCCAGCCAGGCCCCGGGGCCCCTCAGGACCAGGGTCTCCCTGTGAGAAGAGAAGCCTGGTCAAGTCTCAGTCGAGGGCCAACTCTGTGTTTCCCAAGAGAGGTAGTGTGGGGTGTGTGTGTGTGTGTGTGAAGATGGGGTCAGAGGACCAAGCTATTCAGCCTATTGGAGGAAGACCCCAGTTTGTCCAGGGTGATGCTGGAACAGTGACATCCTTCCTCCTGCAGTCCTCTCATCCTCACAGACCACCAGTCTGAGAGTCCTATTGAGGCCACTCTGTGAGTATAGGGACCCCACCCAGCTTAGGAGGAAGCCCCTTCAGCACCATCCTTGAGAGCTGCAGTGATGGGAGGCAACAGGAACATGTGCACCCACAGTGGGGACACTGCAGGGTGGAGCAGTCTATACAGTTGTGCAGAGTATGTATAGGATGGGTGGTGCCCTTCCAGGGGGCATTAGGAGTGCAAGCCTGCTTGTTTGGTTCCTGTAGAGGCTGAACCCTGCCAGTGGCCAACCACTGTTGGTGATTTTTGTTTTCCTGGTGGATGAGGAAAGGCCATCCCATCAGTCCATGGTGAGATCCAACGTAGATGCTATTATTTCTCATAGAACAACTCACCTTCTCCCCCTTGGGGCCATCACTGCCTGGGCTGCCCTTAGTTCCTGGATCTCCCCTGCGCCCCTGTAAAGAATAGGGGTATAGTTGGGAGAGGAGTGGAACTGCTGGGTGACCATGCTGGTCACTTGAGGCCTGATCCTACTCTCCTCCAGGACATGGGGACGCTGAGCCTGGTCCTCCTTCTTGATGACCTTGCCTGGCCTTTTGGCTTCCACCCTCACCCTGCTGTTGTGTCAGCCTTGTCCCAGCTGAGGACTCAGGACTTGGGTGGGAGCTCCTGGTCAGGCTGTAAGTCTTGGCCAGTGATTAGGACATGGCTTAGACTGTCAGGGTAGTCACTCCTGTTTGCTTTCTGGCTAGGCCTCCTCAGACTGTCTCTCCTAAGGATCAGCCCTGGGATGGGGCCTCTACCCTGAGTTCATCCCTGGGGGGGGTCCTGAAGGGAGGGCAGAGGTGGGCTAACTGGGGACATAGGGGTCTGCCTGATCCTAGGACCATTTGTCAATGGTCCTTCCTCAGCCCTGCTATCCATAGAGGGGCCACAGAGAATCCCAGAGAAGGGGATACTGAGGCAGGATGGGCTGGTCAGCAGGCTGAGGGGAATGGGATCTGCAGGTACAGAGTGAACTTACGGGTTCTCCTTTGGGTCCACGAGGGCCAGGCCCACCCTTGCCTCCTTTCACACCTGGACTTCCTGGGGCTCCATTGTTGCCTTGATATCCCTGTGTAGGTAAGGCAGGACAATTCAGCATGGCTGAGGGCATGGTGGAGGAACACTCAATTCCTGCCAGTGGGATCTGTTTGCCTTGGCACATAGGTGTGATAGAGCAGGAGAGCCTCTGGGAGGGCGCCCCTGCCATTGGCAGTGGAATGCAGAAGGGCGAGCACATGCTGGCTCACTGTCCTTCCCACTCCTCCCCATGTGTGTGAGGCCATAGACCTGGGTTGTCTGCCAAAGGGGGAAAGTAGGCCACCCACTTACCTTGCTTCCTTTGTCTCCGGGATCTCCTGGGGGCCCCCTGCGTCCTGGGCGGCCAGAGTCTCCCTGGAAGGATTGGAAATATCAGCTTTGTTCCTGCACAGTGGCAGGAACACAGATGCTAGGTAGTGGGGTGGGATCATCCAAATTCCTCCTTGTTCTTGGAAAATCTAGGATGTCAGGCACAATGGCAAGAGACCCTGCCAAGATGCCCGACTAATAGCCTATGAACCCAGGGTGAAGTCCTCTGAACCCTCTGGGGAAGGAGCTCTGTGTGACAGTGGGATGTGCTGAGCAGTGACTCAAGAGTCAAGGCAAGTGGCAGGGACATGTGTGTCTCAGGTCTGGGCTCCCAGGGAAAGGCTACCTGTTCTATGGCCAAAAGTCTAGGGCCACCAGGGGCATTCAGGAATCATCGGGGCCTCAGAGAACAGGGACTACAGTGTCCAGAACCTTCCCCAGGGACTCTGAAGTTGACAAAGGAGGTGGGCAAGCTGTGGTGCATGTGACCCTGCTCCTGCATAGCGAGGTTAGAGAAAGGCCCTCCCTGCCAGGTGTCATAGCCTAGGCTGTCCTTTTATCCTGACCTGTGCTGAGGCAGGAAACCCTGGGACAGGAGCCCTGAAGCAGGTCTTCCTGAGCGTGGTGATTCACCCTGCTTCAGAGCTGCTTGCAGCTGGGTCCCTACCTTGGCGCCTTGGTCTCCTTGCTCGCCTGGACTTCCAGCTTCTCCTGGGTACCCATCAGGGCCCTGAGAGAGGTGAGAAAGGCTAATGTTCAAACTCCTGCAGAGTGTTGCATGGGTGGGCTGTGCTTTCCATGAGCGAGAGACAGTGACACAGAGTTGGGACCTCAGAGTTGCTGTTGATCCTGGCTGTGACGTCCTGGCTCAACAAAACTCCTGCCTGTGGGCCTCAGTGGTCACCGAAGCTCCAGGTGCTCGGCCTAGAACCATGTGCTCTACCTGACCCAGCGGGAGACCCGACATGCCCAAGAGTTGACCCAGAGGATCTGGAGGGGGTCCTGTCATGTTGTGACCCCAGTGTCAGCAGAACCCTGGGCTGGGGTCAGGGTCAGGCAAGGAGGGAGGAGGGGCTGGACACATAAGAGAATCCAAATGACTTGCTTCCAGTCCTGCTTGGCACCTGTGGGCCCTGAAATGAGGTTTAATTGGCACACAGTGAGGATGGTAAAGCTGCTTACCCGGTTTCCAGGGTCTCCCTTGCAGCCAGGAGGTCCAATTCGGCCTAGCTTGCCCTGAAGGGGAAGAAGAGTGTCAGAGTGTGGATTTGAGGTCCATGGAAGTCAGTACTAGAACCACCCAGGACCCCACATGATAGTGCTATTGCACCCTAGACAGAGCACATGAGGTGAGGTGTCTCATCATGACTCTTCTTGTTTTCATGGGGACAGAGTCCTAAGGCCAGGTCAGGTGCATCAGTGTGGGATGCCCTCACCATGCACATGTGTGCATGCTTGTACATGTGTACCTGTGTACATGTGATTGTGTGCATTTGTGTGCGTGTGTGTGTGTGTGTGTGTGTGTGTGTGTGTGTGAGTGTGTGTGTGTGTGTGTGTGAGTGTGTGTGTGTGTGTGTGTGTGTGTGTGTGTGTGTGCCTGGTGTGAGGTTCACTTTACCTTCTGTCCATCAGTTCCGTTCTTGCCAGCTAGACCAGGGGCTCCCTGGAAAGGAGGGAGAGACTGGTTAGTTCTAGTTCTGGTTCTTCCTGAGTAGCAGAGCAGGAGACATCCATTCCAGCCAGCTTACCTTCCGACCATCGGCTCCAAATTCACCCTGTGCAGGAGGAAAGCAAAGTGTTAGTTGGGTCTCCAAGCTTTATAGACACTGCTGTCTTTGGAGTGCAAGATGAAAACCCTCCGCCCAAAAGCAAGGCCAGAACTAAGCCCCCTGGGAGGAGCCTAGGTCTGACCCTAGGATCTGCCAACAGGCTGCTGGGCTGTCAGGTGGGGGCAGTGGCCATCCATGTCCTGAGCAACATCACAACTCACCTTCTCTCCTTTGAGGCCAGGCACACCCTGAGGGTAGAAGAACAGGGTGTTAACAAGGGCAGGCAGTGGCACCCTGGAGAAACAGATGGGAAGGGCAACGAGCAAGCCACAGAAGCAAGGGTGTGTGCTGGCTGTATCATGCCTGAAATCCTGAGCACATGCTTGGTGGAGGAGGCTAAGCATGGGGTCAGGCTGGACACATGGTTTTGGAGTGACATTCAAACTGTAGACGTCCTTTTCTTCATCGGCAGTGGGGACTGGACTGCAGACATCCCCAAGGGCAGGGCAGGGAGCTGCCCCAGAATGACCTTCCCACACCCCTACTCCCCAGTCCCAGTCCTGGGTAGGGCCGACGGGAACTTGCCTTGGGTCCTGGGAATCCAATGGGGCCTTCGATGCCTGGGTCTCCCTGTGAAGAAGGGATTGAGAACCTTGGTTGTGATCCCAGTCCTGGGTGCAGGGAATGGGTGGAGGTCAGGTTGGGAGCTGGGAGCCAGGTGGAGGCCTTACCTGTCGCCCCTTCTGTCCAGGCTCTCCTGGCTCGCCCATGTTCCCCTTGGCACCCTAAAAGCAAAGGATAGGAAAAAGGGTAAGTGGGAGGGAACCCTGTCATCTGGGAGAGTAGCATGGCAAAGCCTGCTGGTCCCTCTTCAGTTTGAATAGGTGGGTGTGGGTGGGGCATGGATTGAAGGAACTGGAAAGACAAGGGCTTCAGGAAACCATGAAAAGTTAGACTCCTTGGGAAGTTTTAACTTTATAACATAGAGCTTTACCAAATAAGTGAATTTACTTATTACTGTCCTTCCACTTTAACTGCAAAGGGGACAGAAGAGTGGGAAAGAAAAGGCAAAGGAGAGAGGAGGGAGGAGAATGAACGGAACAAGGGGTCAGAGGTCTTATCGTGTCTCAGCTGTGCCCTGCTCTGGGGGCCCTGCTGCATTGACCTCCCAGGGCCCCCAGGTCACTGCCCTGAGTGGCAAATTCATTTCTAGCTGTGGCAGGGTAGGCAATACTTGTGGCCAGAACTGGAAGAAGCCAGGGTGGGGGTGGGGAGAGTGGCTGGTGGGAGACATCTCACCCAGACACCCATTGCTATGGAAGCTCTCGACGCACACGCAAAGAGTATGACGCTGCCTCCTAACTTCCTGAGTCACTTCAAGTGGCTGGTCTCATCTCAGTTTCTTCTGACCCCTCTGGTTTCTGACCAGAGTCAGATACCATGGTCAGTTTCAGATACTGTGGTAGTGGAGTTAGCATTTTATTTTATATAGCTCTAGTGTTAGGAAAATGCCCAGTGACCATTCAAAGCAAAGTCCCTAAAACCTACAATTAAATAAGTCACAAAAGGGTGCCTTATATTAATCATGTCACTGGCAGAAATGCATCTTGTGTTTTATTTACATACTTGAACATGACTGCTTACTTCACAAAAGTTTTTAAAGTAACATATCTTAATACTTTTAAACTTTTCCTGCTTTTCTCAAAATGCCATTTAAAAGGAAATGGACAAAATTTGAATTTTAGTTTTTCCAGAGTAATGTGTAGAGACCATCCATGGCCCAGCTGGCTCCCAAATGTAGAGTCCTTACAGAACAGGGGCTTCCTGTGGCATGGGCCACGTGACCTCAAAGCAGCTTACCTTCTGTCCTCGGTAGCCCTTGGGTCCAGGGGGTCCAGTAATCTCCAGGCAGCTCACCTTGTAGCACTGAAATGAAGTGGAGATAGCAGGTCAGGTTGGTAGGACAAAACCCTGGTGGGATATAGACTGGAGACACCTGTAAACTTTGACTTTCAGATGAACTCCTCCAAACTCCTATCTAGACCAGCAAAACTGGAATGAAGGAACAGACACACAGGGTGCTGGACAAGTGAGAACCAGTGTTCAGTCAAACCATCTAGCCAGGTTTTGGGGAAGTGAGGCTGAGTTGAGCAATGGCATTGACAAGGATCAAAGAGTGCTCCCCGCCAGCTAAGTATCATCTGTATACGGGGATTAATTTGCTATCCTTGTAAGTCATTTTAGGATGGCATGCTTCTGCAGAAACTTTATGGGGTAGGGACTTTGGGTGCCTGATCCTCTTTCCTACAAGGACACAGCACATGACAGCTGTCCAAAGCTGTAGGGCCCCCAGCTAGGTACATGGCTTCCAGTCTGGGTTGGATGCAGCTCCTCAGTCTGGGACATGATGCTTAACTTTCAGTAGTCATGTGACTTGGTGGATGACTCTAGCTCCAGGCTCTGGGGACTAAACAGTTGGGTTTGAATGTGGGGGAACTTTGTTGAAGTTCAAGAGAATATCAGGCCCAAAAGAACAGGTTGGTATCACTCCCTTTGCTGTTCTGGTCTGCTCAAGCAGGGAGCCAGGATTGCTGTACTGATCCTCTGCTGGGTCAGCAGTGTTAGTTGGCAGTTGGTGGGACAAGCTGGGCTGTAGTGACAGGGTCACTCACCTCCCCATAGGCTTCATGTTTCTGCAAAAAAAGACAGAGACCTGGGTTAGCCTGAGTAGGGACCTATGTGCCACACCCCAAGTCTGGGTGGGGTTTACAGATACAAGAGGACTTGTTCCTAACTTCCCTCAATCTCCTTACAGAGGTATGCTGTGGTCTGGCTGCTGCCACACTGGTAGATGGACTGTGGTCTCAGCCTCTGCCCCACCTACAGCTGCTCACCATGACCTTGATGATGCGGTTGATGGTGTCCTGGTCAATCTCAGTGGAGTCTGGCCTCATGGTGGCGTAGTTGTTGCGGTAGAGCTCATGTGGAGTGTTGGCGATGTCTCGCAGGCCCTGCTCATTCAGATTCCTGTTGGGGGCCACAGCAAAGAGCCGGATGCCCTCCTCACGGGCTCGCTCAGCCTGTAGCTTGATGCCCCCACATGGGCTGCCTGTGACATGGCCGTCAGTGATGACAACAGCAAAGTTGACCACCCCTCGGCCTCCGTGCTGCCGGATCTGCTGTGTCATATTGGCCAGTGCGCAGTCGGTGAATGTGCCTCGGCGGAAGGAGCGGATGCCCTGTAGGCTCTTGGTGAAGGAGGCCCGGTCGCTGCCAGGTGGACTGAACACTTCCACCTGGTCGGAGAAGTGTAGACCACCATAGCGCCAACTCAGTGCCACTTGGTCCAGGTAGAACTCATTCTGCAGTTGGCTGATAAACTGAGGTACAAACTGCTGCATGTGGTAGAGCAGGCTGTCTGTGGGCGACTGCATGGCCACGCTCTCCGAGGTGTCCAGGACAAAGTACACGTTGACGGGACAGTCAGCCTTTTCTGGGGGGACATTGGACTTGTTACAGCCTGCCCGGTGGAGGCTGTGATATGAGTCATCACCACCCCGTGAACACCCTCTCACTCCCAGAACTCCAGAGCCCTCATCCAGGTACCGGGACAATTGTTGTTCCTCTCAGAGGTGGAGGTGTCAGGTGAGATGACCTCCTGCTGCTGGGCATGGAGGGTCCCCAAGAGTCCCCCAAGCAGGAGCACAGAGACGGGGCCCTGGAGCATCTTGGCAATGGTCATGTGCCCTGATGTCCTACAATGGGAGGAGAGATTATGACATGCATTGCTGACCCCCCCAGGTGGGGTACACATAGATCACCACCCCTTGAAGAAATAGAAGCCTGCATGACCCACACCATTGCCTCTACACTTGCTCAGGAGGAACAACTCTCCAACTCCCTGTTGGCTGCAAGGCTTAGATCTAGGCTGGAATCAAACGGCCCCTCCCTGGCCTCTGGTACATATAGATGGGCCTATTTGAGTGGGATGGAAATACCAGGGGTCAGTGTCCCTTCCTACATCTTATTGCTGGGTCTGTACTGGAGCAGGAGGAGGGAGAAACATGCCTACTTTACTCAGGGGGCAGGTCCTAACTAACCTCAGTGTGGGACCCTGGGCATGTCCCTCTCCCTACAGCCTGGTCCCCACTTCACATGGGGCATTGGTGTGGACTGAGAGGAGGGTCAGGCCTAGTCAGACATAGCAGTTATTAGTATGAGTTTCCAACAAGTGCCAGCAGGCTGAGGGCAGTCCCTTCCCCGTTGTGGGTGCAGCAAGATCACTAGAGGAGGCAGCATAGACACAGCTGGGAGACACTCTGGAACAAGGACGGTAGTGCCCCTGGGGAGACAGTCCCAACCTTAATCTCTGGGAAATTGCTGAGATCAGAGAAAGCACTTTAGATTTCATGTTTTAAATTATTTTATTTGAAAAAGTAAGTGGCGTCGGTGAACGACAGATTTGACACCAAGGATGAATGAAATCAGGCACGATGACATGCACCTGTAATCCCGGCATTCGCGAGAGACAAGACAGTTGCCAGGAGCTCACGTTCAGCTGGGCTACTCCAGACGCTGTCTCCAAAAAAGATTAAGTAGAAAATACACAGCCGTCATGCCAGAGCTAGGGGAGAAGACCGATGGAGACAGATCCTGGAAATCAGAGAGGGCGTAACAGACAGCGAAAAAAGATCAGGCGGCCTCAGGAGAATCAATAAAGACATGACAGAGGCACTTTGTGCTAAAGACCAGGGCAGCCCACCAGGCAAACGGAATGAAATTTGGAGAGACCCATGTGAAGTGGGAAATCTGACTTACAATGAAAATCCTGAAGAGGAGAAAATACAATAGCAACAACAACGTATTGAAAACACCTAAGGGAAGCGTTTCACTGGCAGCTCCACAGGCAGCCACAGGAACTGCCCAACAGCCTCCAGTTATCTTCAGTTCCTATATTCACACGCTTGCAGTCGTCTCACACTGAATTCCTGCTGAACAGTGTAGGATGATGGTGTGCTGCGTCCAAGGTGAGGTACACTTCTGGAATCTTGGCACTTGGGAGGCAGAGGCAGGAGGATTGAGGGCAGTCTTGGTAGCCTGTGCCTTTACCAACTGAGCCATCTCTGGCCCTGCTCTCTCTTCTTACGAAACTCCTACATGTGTTGATCTTGATGATTCTCCATAGGCTTCTCAGGCTCTGTTTACTTCTCTTCAGACTTTTTCTTTCTGTTCTACAGACTTGATAATTTCTCTCATTCTATATTCAAGTTTACTGATTCTGACTAAATTAGCCTTTGACTCCCTCTAGTAAAATTTTCTTTTCAATTTTGTACTTTTTATATCTTTTTGGGTTTTCTGGCTCTCCATTATCATTTTCTTTTCATACATAAATCATCTCAACTTTCTTTACATCCTCCTTTAGTTCTTGAAGGAGTTTTTAGACATTTTAAAGTCTTTGTTTACTAGGTCTACCATTGGCTATTTTTCCTTTTTCTTTAAAAAATATTTATTATTCTTATTTTATGTGTATGAGTGTATTGTCTGCATGTATGTAAGTGCACCTGTGTTGTGCAGTACCTACAGAGGTCAGAAGAGGGCATCTGGAACTGGAGTTAAGGACAGTTTTTAGCTGCCATGTGGCTGCTGAGAATTGAACCTGGGCCTCTGCAAGAGCAGTCAGTGCTCTTAACTGCTGAGCCATCTCTCCAGCCCCCACACTGGTTATTTTTCATATACAGTTTTTATTGATTTGCTTCCTTCCTTTGTTAGGCCAGTACTTTGTCCCTGAGCCATATGCCTGGTCCTTTTTTATGGCAAATCTAGTCTTCTGGCTACTGTTTTTGCATCTCTCATTGTGGAAATTCTCTTCTACTCTGGATGAAGTGACATTTTTTTTTTCTTTTGTGTTCCTTGTGACAGTTTGTTGAAGATTGGACATTTGAATCTGATAATGGAGTAACTTTGGAAGGCAGAATATCCCCTCCCCCACAGTTTTTGCTTCTGTCTTTGACGGTCATAGGCAGCCTCTGTGGGAAGAATCAGCCTGAAGTGTAAATGAAAAACTGCAGGTACTTTCTGAGCCCGCCCTCCCGGGGCACATGCAGTGGCTTTCTAGTTTCCTCCCCTCATGTCATTTTGAATGAGTGGCTTCCAAAAGGGGAACTAAAAAGGCTGGAGAGATGGCTCAGTGCTTAAGTGCACTGGCTGCTCTTGCAGAGGAGTAGGTTTCATTCTGGGCACCCACATAGCAGCTACCAATCGGTAGCTACCAGTTCCAGGGAATCTGATGCCCTCTTTTGGCTTCTGCAGGCATTGCATGCATGGTGCACTTAACATATATGCAGGTAAAACGCATAACATGCATGCAGGTCATATGTATAAACAATAACAAAAAAACAACAGTGTAAACTGAAAAGTGGGCAATAAAGGTTTCAGTCTTTTAAATGCTCAGGAAGTCACTTCATCCAGAGGGAAGAGAATTGCAACTGTGGCCAGGTTAATGGATTTGTCAAGACAGATATCCTATAAAGCAGCTTCCCAGACTCCAACAGAGAGAAGTTAGATATTAATAATAGGGGAAACTGGAAAAAAATCACACATTTGTGGAACTTAGATAACATCCTCTTAAAACAAACAACAGACCAAACAAAAAACACAAGGAAAGTGAGAAAATACTTAGAAATGATTAAAAATGAATAAAAAATTTCCCAAACTTACACAGTGGAAGCAAAGCTAAGAGGGAATTATGCAGCCATAAAAGCTTACATTAAAACCAAGAAAGAACTCAACCTACTTTACAACTTAAGACCTACAGAAAGAACAGAATGAACCTAGGATTGTGGAGAATAATAAAGATTAGAGAAAAACAAGCTATAAGTAAGAATGGAAACTAAAACTAAAACTTGGATCCTCAAAAACATCAACAAAATTGACAATCTTTAGCTAGATGGACTGAAAAAAAAAACAGATGACTTAAATCACTATAATTACAAAACACTACATACCATGTAGTATTTAAAAAATAGGCTGGGTGTGTGCTGTGTGGATCAGTGGTATAGCACTTACCTAGCATGCACAGGCCCGGGGTTTGATTCTCATCA